CTTTAATTTAAGATATATATAAAAGTGTCAGTCTTTCCGGAACATTTTCAAAAGTTATGTTGAAAAAGTTAATTTTTTGTGAAAAAGTTGTCATTTGAAATCCCCTTCTGTGGGCAGGGAAAGGGTCAAATTTATAAAAAAAATATATATAATGATAGGTAAATATCTAAGGTATCTATAAAAAAAAAAATTATATTGATTAGATCATTTTTAAAAAAGTTATGGCAATTTTAAGTAAAAAAAAATGAAAAAATATCGAAAATTAGCGATTTTTAAATTTGTAATTTTTTGGGGGATTTCCCCCATTTACGGGGAACGAGGGAATTTTTTTCAATTTTTGAGGGTAATGTCTTCAACTAGATACGATTTGTGATCTTTTGACATATTTTTCATCAAAATCGGTTCAGTGAGAGCTGAGATTGAGCGTATACAGAAAAAAAAAAAAAAAAAAAAAACACATCATAGTAAAATTAATACCTTCTCAGCTTCGCATCGAAGCTAAAATCAAGTTGATACTATTAACTTGATACGCCTATAAACATACAAAATATTTTAATAACGGATAAATGTCACATATTTATTTATTCTTATTTAATAGTAAAAAAAATATTAGTAGATTCCCAATTAAATTTCAAAGGTTATTCATAAAATCTACTCTTAAAAATAATTTTTACTTATAATTTACTTGATATCTACTATAGTTTATCAAAATAAATTTAATTTAATTTTTATAAAAAAATGATTTTATTGCAATAGCTAAAGAAAATCAGTTAAGGGTTTTATAATTGATGGAACGAAGAATAATACTTAACTACATAATATATAATTTGTTAAACTTATATGATTTCTTTCTTTACGAACATTTTCCAAAAAAGTAAGTATCTTAACCTTTATGAATAACTCTGTACAAAAAATATAAAGGTCCTTATATACTCCATAAGTATAATTTATACTTAACTATAGATCTATAGGCGTATCGATAATGAACAATTACTCACATAAAATTAAAAATGTTTGATTTCGTGTGATTTGACGCGGTTTCTATAGTATAAATATTTTTGAAACTTGGTAGAAATACTATTTGATTTAAGTTATATTTAAAAAAAGCATTACATATGTATTTCTCAAACAATTGGAGGTCATCTCCTGCCCCCTAAGAAATTTTGGATGTATTATACAGTTTTTAATTGGTGTAATGAATTAATGAAGTGAGAAAATATTTAAATCGACCTGATAACTTCAAGGTATGCTACTGGATAATTATTAGATCAATTGTTTAAGTCACTAAGCTAGTTCAATTATTATATAATCAAATTATTTGAGATACAAGGTTAAATAATTTTTTATAAAAAATAAAATAGTGGTATTTTCAAATAATATATGTCAATAGAAAAACTAATAGAGAAGTCTTTAAAAATTCGTATAATGTTACTATTTTTAATAAAAATTCGGTAAAAACTTTTTGAACATTTTTTCAGAAATAATTTGAGATCATTTTATGTAGGTATTTTTTTGATATTTTGGTCAAAATTAAGAGCGTAAATAATAAATCAATCAATGCATTTGGTTATTGGCTCACGCATAGAAGGTATTTATAATCTTAAATGAAAAGCAAGGAAAAGTCTGCATTATTTAAAAAATATAAAAAGATATCCAGGAAACGTTTTTGGATTGGTTCCTCAATATAAAGAATTATCACACATTATGATGAAATGAATAACTTCCTAATTCCATATATAAATTAAAATTAAGATATTGTCGAGTATCAGACGGATTTATAAAAATTCTCAATGGTTTCTCGTTTTTAATAGTTTTATAAGAATTATTTTTTTTAATGTTGGTACTATATACAATTATCATATACCAAAATCCGTTATCTACTAGATTATAGATAATATTTTACCTTGTACATTATCAATTTAATATCGGTGAATTAAAATATGATGTGCTTCAGTTGAAATCTGGAGTGTATTTAAATATTAAAATTTCGAAATTTACTTAAAATAATTATGATTATTATTCAATCTTTAATAGATAAACTTAATTTACAATATAAAATGATTAATTTTAAAAATATATAAAAAATATAATCATCTGGTTTATTTGTTTGTAGTAATATTCAACATTTTATAATTTATTTAAGTAAAGATGAATGTTTTGTAAATTATGAGGAAAATAAGTGCCATATTTATTGTAAGCATCTATTAACTAGCGCAAATATAGCTAAAAAGGTATTTGTTTTATAATAAATAATATTACAATTTTTGAAATTATTATAAAATAACATGATATATTTTTTTTTATCAAATTTGTGTTTTTATTCAAAAATAAAAATATTTATTTTATTTCATAAATTTATTTATGTTTTCTTTGTTTGTATCAATTGACCTGTATATTTTTAAGTATAGTTTTGTAATAATTATAGTATATTATTACTATTTTATTGAATTAAATATAATATTTAGTTTAAAAAAAAGTAAAATATTAACTATCCAAATTGGATTTAAAAAAATTTATTAGATTAAAATTTTGTTGAGATTTCATAGAATTCATTTGATGATTAAGATAATAGCTATGATTTTTTAAGTATTTTATTTTTCACGAAACGATCAAAAGTAATATGCTTACACACACTTATGAAATTATTCTCTTTAATTAAACAGTTCTAATTAAAAAAAAATCATATTCATCATATTTTAGCTTACTTATTATTTTTGTTGTACTGAAGAATATTTTTAAAAATTCTTTTTATCAACAATTTTTTTTTCAGATGGTTATTACAATGACTTGATTGTGCTCTTAAATTAAAAAATAATTATGACTGTGTCAAAATCAGAAGATACTATTATTGATTCTTCTGTTGTGACCTCTTTTGCAAAAATTAGTACGGCATTATTTTATGCAGCTGCATCAATGCTGATTACCGTTGTTAATAAATCTGTATTAACTAGTTATGGATTTCCATCTTTTCAATTTTTAGCAATTTGTCAAATGTTTATGACAGTTATTGTTTTGTATTTAGCAAAAAGCTTGGGTAAACTAAAATTTCCAGATATTAATAGAAACACATTTAAAGATACTTTTCCAATGCCATTAATATATTTAGGGAATATTGAATTTGGACTAGGAGGTACTAAAGAATTAAGTTTACCAATGTTCACTATGTTAAGGCGATTTTCTATTTTAATTACTATGTTAGGTGAATATTATTTACTCAACATAAGACCTAAATTGTCTGTTAAAGTAGCTGTTGGATTAATGGTATCTGGTGCTATAATAGCTTCTAGTAATGATTTAGGCTTTAATTTAGATGGATATATTTATGTACTTTGTAGTGATTTTTTAACAGCTGCCAATGGGGTATTTACAAAAAAAAAACTAAATTCTAAAAAAGAGATGGGTAAATATGGGCTTATGTTCTATTCATCAATGTTTATGATACCCCCTGCTTTATTGCTTATGTATTTTTCTGGTGACTTGGACAAAGTTTACAGGTAAAAAAATTGTTTAAGAAAACCCTCTACACTCTTATCTCTGTGACTTCTTTAACTTTATAACAAGTTTACCCAAAATATTTTTTTCATATCTTGATATTATTGACAAAACTTTTAAAAAGGTAACAGAGATATGGAGAAGTATGGTTCTCTCATAAAAGAAAAATAAGTAAACTTAATTAAAATTTAATTAATATTAATTTTTACAGGTATAATTATTGGTTGCACTTACCATTTTTAATACAAATTTTTGTCTCGTCATTCATGGGTTTTATATTGAACTATAGTATTATGTTGTGCACTCAATACAATTCAGCCCTAACAACTACAATAATTGGATGTCTAAAAAATATATTTGTAACATATTTCGGCATGTTTATTGGTGGAGATTATGTCTATACATTGAACAATTTTATTGGTATTAATATAAGTGTGATTGGTAGTCTTTTTTATACATATGTGACGTTTAGACCTTCTACTCGTCCCGCTCAAATTCAATCATCTAATACTGTAAATGTTTGAAAAAATAATATTTAATTTCATTGTTGTTAAACTGCACTTATTATTTTATGTATTGTTACCAAAATTATTGTTGTATTGTGTTCTTTAGGACTCTTTATGTTAATATTTATCTATTCAATTTAATTATGATTAACAAAGTTTACTTTATATTAATTATTTGAACAAACATTATTTTATCATTTTTTTTGTAAGTTTTTAATTTTTTTTTTTTGTAAATGTTAAATTATATCTTGAAATAAACTTAATGTTTCTAATATTTAATAAAAAATTTTTAAAAAATTATAATTTTCGGTTAACCCTGAAAATTGTATGATTTATTAGAAACTTACATTACTATACAAGTTTTTAATGACTTCATTAGTAAAATGATTATCAAATGTTTTATGTATGGTAACATCTATAAAATAGAAAATATTTTTCCTTAAAAAATTGTTCATAATTGTATCAATAACAAAAGAGACATTCTTACTTAGTCTATATATACTTAATAATGTAAAGATATGAATGCTCACTTTACCCTCTAGCTTCATAAAAATAAAAAGTTGTGCACCGATAATTGGAAAACAATTACAAATTAAGATTTTCAAAAAGGAATTTTAATGATTATGCAAAAATTTAGAAGTTGGATTATTTATTATTTATTTTTCTTGAACCAAGAAAAATAAAAATTAAATTAAATCTTTGTGAAATAAAATATGTATACTAAGCATAAAAATGAATAATCCTTTGATTAACAAAAATAATGGATTTATATTGATAAATGATTAGGTATACTCAAATTTAACTTTTTTTAAATATAGCTTTAATGAACTTTGAATGACAATCGAGTCTAGGAATTTAACTATACATATTAGACATTGTATTACCTGCAAGGACCATTTGAAAAGTTTATTTAAAATTTTTTTTCTTGCTATGAATATTATAATTTGACAAAATGTGTATAAAATTACACCGATGAGTTCTTAAAATGATCATTACAATATAAGGACTATTAGTGGATATATCCTTAAGTATTTGGTACTCGGAGTGTAGTATATTCTTAATATTTGTAAGTTACTGAAAATTTTAGTTTATCAAATTAAATTTATAGACATTTCATTATTTGGATAAAGAAAAAGTTATTTGCTCCTAGGATATGCCCCTTAAAATTTGTTTCATGCAGTCATTGACACCTTAAATACGTTAAAACAAAATTCAGGTATCCAAAATTATTTCAAGAATATCATGACTTTAAATTGCACCAAATTTAAGATTATTAATGTAAGATACTACTTATGTTTAAAAAATCAAGTTGGCTGAAATATTATGATAAGATGATAGTGAAATGTAAATCATAAAAAGTAACTTATTAAATATTTTGTCTTTACAAAATAAGTATTAAAATTTTTTTCCATTTTCATATAATAGTTATCATACTATCATATTAAAAATTAACATAAAATTTAATTTCTACTATGTTTAAAATTTACCAAAAAAATCAGTTTTTAAATTAGTTTAATAAATAGAACTACACGAAAATTGAAAATCACTTAATTTTATTCATATACTAAAGTATAAATATTTTACGAGTCAATATTACCAATAATATAATTATATATAAAACTATTAATATTATAGTAAAGAAATCCTGAATTTATACATTTATTTATAGAATCATGTAATAAGCTTAACTTAATTAGAAATATTGAGTATGAACTATGAGTCACAAAAATTATAATACACCATATAAAATCAATTTTGCTTAGTTGTTACAAAGTATAAATTAAGAATACAAAGTCAAGGACTAGGAAGTAATTCATAAAAAAATTATTCATATTTATTAAATACTTAACCAAACTAAGTACTACAAAAATGACATGGTTTATAAAATTAAGTTTAATGCGCCAATTTAACAAACAGTTAAAACTTCACATCTATTAAAATAAACTAAAATATTATACCAAGTAATGAACTATCAGTGCCAACTGAATGAAAATAAATACATTACAAAATCTTCACCGAAGAAAATGAATACAGAGACAGTCTTTTTTTAAGCATTATTAGTAGGTGGTAAAATTTCTGGATTTTCCAATCGCATTGTATCTAACTTAGCAAAAATTTTAAGAGCCGGTCCTAACTTCATTGACATATCCCGGATAAGGTGATCCTCTTTAAGCAACATTAAAGCTTGTCCATCAATTTCATGGCTTTCAAAATCAGCAGCTATTTCTTCACTTTCAGTTAATTCACCAATAAATTTTCTAACATCTTTGACCTGTAAAGAAAATAATCAATAAGATAAATTGATAAGATCAAATAAATAAAATATTGAACGTACAGTCCATGTAAGAGGATTAATTGAAGACAACTCGGGATTTATATCAGTCTTATCTAAATTAATTTGTATACGATTTGATTGATCAATGGATGAACTTGTATTACTTGAATCACCAATTGAACCATTACTTTCACATTCCTAAACATATAAAATTTAAAAAAGAAATGATAAAAAAATTTTTTTTTTGACTTTTTTATATTTATATAGATTTTTTCAATGTGAAGTATTCTAGATGACATTATTTTTCACTACATTCAACAATTAAAACATATTATAATAATTATAAAAAAATTATTTAAAGATAATCAATACGAAATATATATGTATATATATATAGTTTTAATTCTCCTATTAAAAATAATTACATTTTTAAATTTCAAAAATTAGGTTGTTAAATTTATTAACTGAAATATAATACAAATAAATTTTTAAAACATACCCAATTTTTGCCATTTTTCTTATCAACAGATCCATTTTTCAAATTATTTTCAAACATTTTAGAACATTCTTGGGAGCAAAAACGCTTTGATTTCTTTTTTACTTTTAATTTTTGCAATTCTTGTTGCTTTCCACAATAGTCACATTTACTTTTATCTTGAGGGCTGTTTTCAGATTTACACTTTTTATCTAAGAAAATCAGCATGTATTAAAATACTTATTTGATTAATTAAAAAATAGTAACCCTTACTTGGAGGTTCATCATTTAATTTGATATTTTCTTTATCTTGAGTACTACTTGCTATATCAGCCAGAGTACAAGACCGATTCACTGGGAATGGTTGATCTGCTTCTTGAATAACAAATCCTTCAATCACATGTGTTAAAACTTGAGGTTTTACAAGTGCTTTAGGTAATCCTTTATCTCTACTATTATCTTCATTTGTTGCAACAGGTAATGAAACTGTAGAAGTTTCATGTACTTCAGGCACTGAAACATTAACTGTTTCTTGTGGCTGAACAATACTTTTAGTTGTTTCATCAGATTTCACAGGAGAGGGTATAACTGAAGTTGTTTGAACTTGAGGTAGAACAGAAATTTGGGATTGTATTGATACTTGGGGAGCACAAGAAACAACTGGAATCACAGGTCTATCAAGTATAGCAATTTGTTGTTGAGGCTGACTACTAACAATTGCTTGACCTTGCTGGAACTGATGAATATGAATTTTTTGAGGAGAGTTCACAGACATGCTCATCATACTTGTATTAGGCTTAATTATTTGTTGTTGTTGAAAGGCAACTTGAGGAGATTGCATGCTTACAATTTGATGATTTGGAGATTGCATACTAACTAATTTAATTTGTTGTTGAGCATGTTGTTGCTGTTGTTGTTGTAAATGTTGAACTTGCATTGTTTGTTGTTGAATTTGTGGTACAATTTGCCCAGAACTTGTTAAAATCATCCTAAAATTAATAATTAATTGAACATACTATTAAATAAATAAAATTCAGTTATTCATACTTATTTGTATTAATAGTTTGTGGTGATTGGGCAGATTTAGTTTGATTAGTTTGATTTGCTGCATCTGATTTATGAGGAGCTATACTAAAACCACGTACATTAGTTTTAGGTCTAACTTTCAATTGAGTTTTTTGCATTTGATTTAAATGTTGTACTCCAGTAGATGTTTGAGTGGAAATTGTTGCATTTGGACGTATTGTATGTCCAGAAGGTAAAATTGAAAGTTGACGATTAGCACCCATACTAGAAGTATTTGTTACTACTTTGGGTTGTATATCAGCTCGTTGCGATTTTATAGTTGTGGTTGTTCCTCCACTGACCATTTGTCCTATATTTTGCATAACACCACTACTTGTTTGCATCATAGTTTGACCATGATGCTGTTGAAGGTGTTGAGGTGGAGGGCTTTGTATAAACATTGGTGTTTGTACTTGTTGTTGTTGGCCATCTTGTTGTGGAGCTCCTACAATAATCAAGGAATATTAGTCAAATAAATTAACTAATTTTTTTAATTTTAATGATGGAAATCATAATACTTATTTGATATAAAAATATTTACTCATTAAAAAAAATTAAATGATACTATATTTATATATTTTTTTAAATAATTTTAAAAATACCTCTAATAAATATAGGATGATTTTGGGTAGTTAATAATGCTTGAGGTTGAGGTGTAGCCCACGTGATTCCTTGGGGAAGTGATGTATTAAATTGCCAAGGAGAAAATTGCATTGGTTGTGTATTTTGCTGCACTGTTCTTCCAGTAGAACAAGTTGTATACTGTCGCATAAAAATTAATGTCTTAAATTATAGTACAAAATTGAATATATGTAATAAAAACTAAAACATACTGTTTGTTGCATTTCGTTTTGCTTCATATTAGGCTGACTACTGATGACTCCTAACTGACCAATTACAAGTGTTTGATTAGTAGTAGTTGGTATAGCAGCATATCCAGTTGGAAATGTAGTTGCTTGTCCTTGTGATATTACTTGTTTGTGTGCATTAGCTGTAGTGATCATTTGCTGAGATTGAAACTGTTTATTTGGAGCAGCTATCACTTGTATAGCACCAGAAGTTGGATGTTGTAACATTGTTCCAGGCATAATCAATTGACCCTGGGCGTTGTATTGCAAAAATTGAGCACCTTGTTGAATTAGTTGAACTCTTCCGTGACTCCAATCATTAATTTGTTGAATTTGAGCTTGTTGCTGTGGTGCAGGAGTTTGAGCTTGCATAGGATGTTGTTGAACTTGACCCTGTTGTTGAGTTTGCATATTTGTCATTTGTACTTGACCTTGTTGCTGCTGAGGCTGCATGGTTGATATTTGCATTTGCCCAGAAGTCTGTAAAAACATCTGTGTAAATATTGTATTTATTGTTAAAAAGGATATTATAAATTACTTCTATAGTTGCCATTGGAGCCGAAGAGTGAGGAAGTTGTACAGAGCCATTGTTCGTTCCATCAGATGACATTTGCATAGTAATTGTCTGCTGACCATTAGCTACAGCAACTTGTTGAGATTGTTGCTGTTGTTGTACTTGCTGTTGTGACTGTTGCTGTTGCTGTTGCTGCTGCATATCTACCTGACTCTGAGGTTGCTGGATCATAACTTGTATTTGCTGTGGCTGTTGCATTTGTTGCATCTGTTGAGTTTGTTGGGGTTGTGCCTGTTGTTGAGATTGCTGTGGCTGATTTTGTTGTTGCTGTTGCTGCTGCTGTTGTTGCTGTGATTGTTGCATTTGTTGAACATCAGTGGCAGGCTGTTGTTGTGCCGACCCCTCACTCATTTTTTAATTTGCTCATGTAAACTAAAAGTACAATAAAAATGATTAACAATGACATTTGTAATTATTCTTGATAATACAAACTACAGAATCAAATAAATTTTTAATAGAAAAAAAACTACAAAATTTATACAAATTGTAACTGCCATATCTTATTTTTAAAACAGGACAATACTATTTTTTGTCATATCTCACAAGAATAATTTTTTTTTTAATAGTAAACATTGATTCTTTATAAAAAAACATTCATAGTGTTCTATTCATACTTGATTTCTTAAAATTAACAACGATATATACTAAATATATTTTAAAAGAATCTAAATAATCACATAATATTTATGTTAACATTAATTTTTTTAAATTTCATATTATATAATTTATTAGAAGTACATTATTCAATAAACTGGCATCAGTTTAACTGTATTATAAGTTTGGATAAACTATGAAATAAAAAGAGTCTAGTTTCTATTTTACTTGGTCTACTCATTTTGCATAATAGATAAACAGAAATATTCTTAGATATTCAAGTATTTATATATGTTTCATAATATTGTAAACAGCTAACTTGATTTACAAGTTTATTATTATTAAAAAATTTTACTTAAAAAATAGTATTAATTCCAGAAAAATTAGATTTTATTAGAGGGTTTAATTATATTATTACAACAAATATAATATCAATTAATCATGCACAATCATAGATAATTCTAGGCAAAAATAAAATTAAAAAACATCAAAGCATACTAAGCTGTGAAATCATTAAAAATAAATAAATAAAAAGGATAAGGATTTTGGACATACAATGTAAACGGATAAATAAAATAGGTCACTATCTCCCAGCTGAGAGCTGTTTAATAATTTATATCATTACAAGTAACGACCACTTTCATTTCTAGGCTTAACATGCATTAACATACGACACACGCACATTCAATACTACGGTCACTGTTAACCTGTTATGTACGACAGCATTTTAGAAGAAGGCAACAGAACTTCTGGAATCATCGAAATGGAACAATTGATGAACAACGCAAAGTTATTTCGCTATAGTATTAGCAAAACTATAACTAATCAAGTAGTCTACATGTAGATAATTGATTAGTTAAGTAATAACTAGTTAGTACAGTCGTCACTCACCTCCGCAAACACAGTTATCCGGAAAATTGTAAGATGAACGTTGGCTGAAAACTCTGTGGAACGTAACACGATACTACCTTTGCGCAGACTAGTAAAAAAAAAAATTGTGTTTATGATTTGGTGTATCTAAACATGAACGGTCGCGTCTGTGATAATTCGCGACGACGACGACATCGATGATAATATCAATACAGCAACAAACACACGGCGTACAGAGCTGGCGTAGTCCCCACTTCGACCGCCAACAGGACACAAGTGTTGCACGGGTGGGTTCGGGCGGTGGGTGACACGGACGCAAACGCACAACACAGAACGGACCTACGGCTAAAGACTATACAAGACGCTGTGGGACGTATAGTCAGCGGGTTGGCGTTCGGAGGCCGCGACGAGCGTACGCACTCGGCGTTACCCTATCTGCGCACGCTCTCCACCTACCCCACCCGGTAAGGTAACCAACCAATGGCATTCATCCAGACATCGGCGCACCAATAAAGTCACTCGTGCGCGTACTCCGGATCTTTGGCGGTAATTATAATAATTACGTGCCGTCCCGCCGGCCGAAAATGCTGTGTATGCAGAGGGGACAACAGGACAAAAGAATGCATGCTACGTATGCATCGTAGTGCTATTCAGTTTAAAACGCATTCTTTTATCGAATCAAAAAATACATTGTATGCGTTTTTCAATTACTGCTCTGATCTTAACATTTTTTATTAGCGTACCGTTTAATCGATTCACGTAAAGTGTCTACCAAATACGCAATATAATTAGAATGAATCTTTCTAAGTAGTCGTTAAAATTAATTAATTTTTAGTGTCAGTGTGAAGTTGAATATTTTTTGAAGTATTAAACTCTTAATAAACCTTATTACTGAAACTTAATAATCTACAAAAACATACTCGAATTAAATTTTCAAATATACTAAACTCCATGTACAAAACTGAACAATTTGAGAGCTATTGACAATCAATAGCATTATAATTATTATTTATAGCATTAGATTTAACTTATTGTATATTGTATCAACATGTGTAGAGTAAATTTAAAAACGATAGGCGTCTTAGCAACTAACAGATAGTAACTCATCCAATAAATTCGCGGGAGGTGGAAAAGTTCTAGGAACCCACCCACTGTAAATCAAACCAACCGACACGCACACGATGTCATTCATCACATCTATATTCATAATTATCTATACTTGACCATTAACAATACAAAACATGTGAGGCAACCATAAATTATTCTATTATATGTATATTATACATGTAAGTGACTTATATGTACCTATACATTGTATAAGAAACTTATTTGCATCATGATGTAAATTACTCAATATACTGAGTAAGTACTATTATCAAGACAGAGTTTTAAGAGTTATATTTTTTAACGAAAATACATTTTTCTTTAAATATAATTTAGTAGTTTATTAAAGTACTACTAAACCAGTATCTTCTTACTATTAAGTATGTACTGACAATGGTGTATTAACAATTTTTCACAAAACAGTATTAACATAAGAGTATTTATTATAAAAGGGACACAGGTGTAAAATTTGATAAATTTTTTTAGGAGAATAAAATAAAATTTTCCGTCACTTAAAAAAGTATGTTTATTAAACAAAATAAAATTTTTGAAGGGAGGTGTCAAGTCCCTCTAGGACGATGAGAAATGGCCAAACACAACTATAGTTATATTATGCACCATAGGCACAACTTCAAAAAAATCTTAAGAGGTGTTTATTGTATCTAACTGCCTTGTACAACTAATTTTATTATTAAAACTCCCTAAACTTGCGCCTACGTTGCGTACTCAATATAAAAACAGTTCAAGGACAAAGATTATGGAACCATCTGAAAGTTTTAATTGTTTTAAACCATCATAAAGTATGTCTACAAATAGTTAACGCCGTGCTTTTGATTTTTTTTAAAGATTGTAAAACGAAACGACCCAATAATTTGACTAACTTATATTTTAATGAAGTTTAACGTAAATGTTCAAGATGATGTGAAAACCGTATCTTAGACAGTTTTGGAAAAATAGTTATATGGCGAAGATCCAATTTTTTTTTGTTTGGTGAAGGAAATAAAACATTTATTTTGTATATTTCCTTAAAGATAAAATCCTAATTACGACACTGTTGTCTCGATGCAAGTTGTCGGTGTCCTCTAAAGGTTTTTAGGATTCCAAGAACCTTTTTTTAACCTGGAGTTTTAATCCACAATTGTAATTGGGCAAAATATATATTGGATTTATATGTACACATAATTAAGAATTACTCGTAATAATCACTTATACAAGTATACATATATATATATTTATAATTAAATATAACATATCATAAACACAAATAATTTTTGGACGGAAATCAGCAAAACCATTTTAAATTATAAGAGGAAGTCATAATTATTTTTGACCACGAGACTGTTTGTCTTCAAATTCCAAATTTAGGGAAAACATCTAAAAAAAAGACGATTCTACTCTCTAATAATCTATTAAATTGTGATGTAGAACCTATTTAAGAGTAGGGTCTTTACAAGTGTGATTCTATTGGATCTATTAATCTGTAAGTATACTGGAGGAGTCACGGAGATAAGACAAATCCAGTACCTTTTGATCTTATTATCATTTCGTTGGAAGTTTTTTTAATAATTATTGCCTTTTTAGACTACGTTCAAAGCATATTTTTATTATTAGCCGTTTTTTAGGCCTATTCTTACGAACAACTTTAAATGGGTCGATATCAGTTTTAGGAAAAGTGCTCAATTAATTAAAATAATTTTAAAACAGAGTAGATATGGAACAAAGGTGGATTATGTATTGTAAATATACATCAGAACGAGCTGTACCTGCCCGTGCCCATACCCACTCTATGTATTAAAATGCTTTCAATTCATTGAGTACTTCATCTAAATTGATATCGATCCATTAAAAGTTTTTTGTAAGATGTTAAAAACGGCTATTTTTAAATATTGAAACAAAAAACATTTAAATTTCTTTTTTATCAATGAGATTAATTTCTTATAAACAATAAAAAATATTTTTAGAATGTAATTTTAAGAAGGCAATTAAAAAAAAAAACTTAACAAAATTATAATTGAATCAAAAGTTAATGGATTTATTATATCTTTGTTACTCACCTTAAAAAATTTTTACAGAAATTGGTGTAATTTGTAATGCTATTAAACATTATTTATTGCTAGTAACGTTACTGAAAAACGTACGTTATTAATAGAAATATACTAAGAATTCTTGTTAGGAGAGAATTCACTTTTTATTCAAGTAGACATGTTTAAGATTATTATGTTTAAACTTACACCCATAGGAATGTATTTTGGGGAGGCCGATAGAGTGAAAGAATTTTCTTAGAATAATTATTATTTTAAAAGAAATCCATAATATTAATAGAATCATACTGTACTGAAAAATAAACGGGTAATGTAGTAACAACTCTAATAAAAACAGTTGGAATAACTAAACAAATGTTTGGGTCAGCCGAATATTCAATAATTCTAACTGTCTTAATTGCAGTTGTCACTATATTAACCGGTTTAATAGTTGTCCTAATTGTATTTTTGCCATTATACATTGTGTATTCAATTACTACGGACAATAAATACCTGTCATTTACATTTAGTAAGTAAAATCTGAGTGATCATGATCACGTTATGTATTGCAGTAATGTAATGCATTGATATTTAAAGGGAGGAAATCTTTTTCTTCTAAAACAATTTAAATATAGTCTAATTGCCTCCTGATAAAATTGTGTAAAACGCGGCTTATTTTGGAGAGGGTGATAAGGACGAACGCCCCTGAAATAGCGCTGTACATATTTTATAAAGCCGCGGCTTCGTGTAACTTAAATATCTACTTTGAGTTAATATCTAATTTAACTTAACTTATCTAAGTAACTTAAATATTTTTTTTATTAAACAAAAAATAAATCTATAAACATATAGTTTAGATATCGCAATATTTTTATTATTTGGAAGAGCGGCTTCATTAAATATGTATAGCGCTAGTCCAAGGGCGATTACCACTATTGCCTTATTCAAAATATGGCCCTTTAAGAAATTTCATTTGTATATAAATTGATATATATGATTTGAATTTTCTTAATATAATTATTATTTTAACAGAAATCAAATGACTAATATTGTAAGAATCATTCTGTAGTTATAAAAAAAATAATTAGCATAATTTATAGCTTGACTTATTTTGTATTTGTACGACAACTTATCAATTAATGTCTAATTAAAAAAAATAGAAATGTAAATTTCTCACACAAAATGAGATTTTTCCGAAAAATTTATCCCACTCTCCTTTTTTTATTAATATTTTTATATAAAAAAAATTAAATATTTAAATAAAATACGTATTAAAGTGTATGTAGTTTTCAAATTAGACAAACTTATTATTGTAAAATTGGTGATTTTCGTCGTTTTTAATGTGACCCATTCAATTATATATTTTGTTACATGTAGCGCTAAGCAAGCATAGAGCAACTTGAAAACTGAGTCTTCCTATATCAATACCCTCTAAATCAGAATTTTATTTTTACTATAACTATATGTAAGTTCCCCAGGCAAACTTATGTTAGATTTTTTAGTCTTCTTAAACATGTTACTAAATAATGGTTTATGATAATCGTCTGTCATTAAAAAATACATGAAATATATAGATAATCTAATTCTTTAATGTTAATTGATTACACGCTTGAACATAATTAGGAGCTGTATTTCTTTTGAACGCTAAGTCCTTTTATTGAATGAGAAGGAGTGTCAGCGTTTGGCTTAAATTGTATTACACAAAAATAACTTTTAAAAAATATGAAACAAAATATGGCGATTATTGTAATAAAATTGGAAAAATCTAGTTCGCAGAGTTATAATAAGGAAAACATCAATATAATGCGCCTAGTCATATATTAGAATTATGTTAATAGGACGTTTAGTTAAACGTTCGGGGCTGTTGATTATTTATCTAGTAGCAACAAAAAAATTAAATGTTCCTAAGACATCTTATTGATGTAATGTAATATTTGTTTAAAACCTAAGATATACATCCCTAGGATGTTAGCTAACATCTAATGTTTAGTGGACTATTATTAATAGTAAATAATAGGGTCAATTTAAACTTAGAGGAAAGGTATTTTTATTACTATTTTATATGATAATCAAGAAATAATATTAATTATACTACTAAAACGCACTATTATTACCAAGTATGAGTACTGAATTCACAAAACAACCAATTCAATTTACAAATGAATTTAAAAAGACAACTGTTAATAGGTTGTAAAATATCTTAAATTTTATGTGTTCAAGGAACATATGTATATTTTTTTGTTTATTAATCAATGTCTGTATCACACCTTAAAAAAATATAATGTGATAACAGCTGATTAGAACATTTCATTAATAATAATTTTATTTAGGCTGTGTCTGAAGACAAAAATGTCCGTGTTGTTAATTATAATCAGTTAAATATGACGTTAACACATTTTCGTTCTTGTTTTCAAATAAAATGAAGTTGATTTAAGTTTTATTTAATGGCTAATGATACCGAAATACTCCATCATTTATGGAATGGGAAGTTAGCAGTATGTTTCCAATTAAACGAACAAGAAATTCATGGGTTACAAAATCCTGAACCTATATATTTAATGGTGCCAAGGATGAGTTATTTTCCATTAGTATGTGATAAAGTAAGATATTTTCAAACTTACGATTTAACCACATTACCAATAATATTAAATTCTGAAAATTTATCATTATATTCAGGTCAAAAAACATTTTGTGAAACATATAGATCCTGAAAAACAAGAATTAGAAATGTGGTTGGAATATAATAATACTCCACTGAAATGGTATATAATAAAATATTGTTAAATAAAAGTAGCATGACACCATCTAATATTACGTGCTCGAATATTGTACTATAAAAAGTTATTAATAAATTACATGTCTTTTTTTAGGAATTATCCTATTGGTGTTCTCTATGATCTCTTTATTTTTAATGATAGGCCAGTCAACTTACCATGGCTAATAACAGTCCATTTTGATAATTTCCCTGAAGATCAGCTAATACGATGTTCTTGTAGGTAATTACAAAATAATTTAATTTTTTTTGCTGAATTTAAGAACAACCTAACTCAAGTCATATAGGTTGGAGTTTACTAGAGGTGGTCTAAATATGGCTATTATTGAATAAAGGAAATCAATTTATAGAGTTAAAGAAAAAAATAGTTTTCCATGATTAACTTTAAACTATTTTTATCTCCATGTTACATTATTTTTGTTTAAAATTACAAATTGTCTATCTTACATTTCAATCATGAAATATAGCCTGTTAAACTTAAGTTTACTAGTATTTAGCGCTGTCCCATTGCTAAAAACATGAGGGGTTGAAAAAAATAATTCCTGCTAAATATATTTTTAATATTATCGAGTAGAAGGGTGTGATTTCCTAATAGCACAGCCCTGTTAGTTTTCTATATCAACAGTCAGTATTAATAATTAGATCAAATTAATATTTTCATAAAATTCTTTATAGAGAAGTTATTGAGTCAAATTTCATGTCTTGTTTGAAAGAAGCTGATACATTGAAACATAAAAGTCAAATTTTTTCAACAATGCAAAAACATCAACATAATCAACTGTGGAATGGATTAATAAATGGTAATAATATAATACTATTATAAAAATACTTCTCATTTTAATATAATTATAATATTTAATTTAAAAGATATAAGTAAAAAATTTACTTATATCTTATATCTTACTTAAATATCTATATATCTTATATTTAAATTTTTTGCTCGTTTTTCACATTTAAAATGTTTCAACTTACAATTAAAGTTCAATTATTTAGCTTAATAACAATATTATAAATTTATATTTTTTTAAAAAGATTTTATTAATACTATTTTTTGAAAATAGATAAGTTTGATCAGTTTTGGTCAGAAAATAAAAAGCTAATGGAGCCAACTGATGGTGCATGCTTCAAACATATACCCATACACTTTTACCATGCTGGTTCATTAGTCATGATGCAGTCATTGGTTAAACCACTTACAGAAGATGGAAATTATTTGACATTAAATGAACTTGTTCAAACTATTTATCCATTATTAGAAAAATGTAATTTTATATTATTAATTATTAAATTTCAATAATCTAATTAGGGCTGGCCAAAGGGTTTTTACCTTCCAGGAATAAAATGTAATACCTCCTAAAATTTTTAATCCATAATTTTATATTGGATTAAAATACAGGAAAATGCAGCACCTTAAACCAATTCTGATTCAAAAATATATTTATATTAATTTAAACATTTTGTATGTTTATATATAGATAATATTTTTACACATGGAATATGTATACCAAGTAATACACCAGTTCAATGGATGAGTGAACACATGAGTTATTTGGATAATTTCCTTCATTTAATTATAGTTTGATTTTGGTGGTTTACCAAGAAATGAATAATTTCAGGAAATTTTTTCAATTGTCATAGGTTATATTTATAATATATACAATCAAATATTTTATGTATATTCATAATATATAAATATTGGTTATACAATTATTTTTTTAACTAGTTAATACCAGGAATATAACGACCTTTTTTTATTGCTTTCTTTTTGATTTTTTCTTTTTTATCTTGTTTTCTTTTTAATAAATTATTTGTGCGTTTGTCTTGTTTTTCTTTTTTATTTTTTTCTAATAATTGTGCCCTTTCATCCCATTTTGTTTTGCTAATTTTTTTTTGTCTTTCTTTTCTTGCAACAGTTTTTTTTAAAAGTTCAACATTATCTTTAACTTTAGCACCTTCAGCTTTTGCTAAAACATTAGTCCATGCTTCTTGTGTTTTTAATTGATGAGCTTTATCAGCTTCACCTGATTTTTCTAATTCTTTATATAATTGTTGTTTAGATTTTAATACCTTCAAGGCATCTTTAGTGTTTGTATTAGTTTTTGTAGATATTCCTGTTTTTTCTCCAAGAAAATCTACTTTGTTAAAAATTAATTTAGCTTTGCCATTTACAATTGGATTTTTTTCTTCTGTCTTTTTTTCATTTTGGATCAAATATTTTTCTTTTTTAAACTTTTCATTTATCTTTTTCTTTCTTTTAATTTTATTTTGAAGTTTATTTTTGATGATTTTACCTCTGTAAGTGTATTTTTTTTCTAAAAAATAAAAAATATAATGGATAACATTTCTAAGAATATAAAATTGTATAAATACCTCGAATAGCAGCTAAACGTGTATGAAGTTCATCCAAACTTTGAGCTCTGTTTATTGCATCACTAGCTAGAATTGGTTCTAACAATAAAAAAACAAACAATGGTTATGTTACTAAAACAAAAGTATAAAATTGAAATGAAAAGTTATTATGATTGATAATAAATTATTTAGTAATTTAAAAGTTTAAAAGATTTATATTTACTTTTTCTTTTTTCATTACATTCACTTTCTTCAGAATCTAAAAAATATAGTAAGTAATTTATCTTATTATAAAATTAAATAAATAAATATTGTTAAAAATGAATATAAATGATAGTATCTTATGAAAACAAATATGCATATAGATATTTAAATTATTTTGAAGATATTTTACTTTGACTAGTTTCTTAATACAGTAAACTAAACAATATATTTTAACTGGATTGGGTTCATGTCTTACTTTTTGAAAGTTCTAAGCATATACGAGTAGCACAGAGAGGGAAACGATTTTGGGTAACTATGGAATTTATTGACAACAAAAGTGATTAAATTATGATACAAAAACTCAAATATTAACTTTAATAACATAATTTCTATTTAAATTTACTTTTAAAAAAAATCGCCAAAATAATGTTTAGCTGAACTATATGTTCATCTAAACATTTCATACAAGGTTGAATATATAAATTATACTCAAGACGATTAATTTAATTTATTGACTTCATTTTTTAATAAAAAATACTTAAATAAAATAATTATAAATATGTATTATTATATTATGTATTCAATATCAATAAAAAGTTATCTGGTTTTAGTAAATATTTTATATGTTTAAATTAAATTGGTTAAGTAGTTTGATATGGTTGAAAGATAAATATGTCAAATTTATGTAAATTTATAATATATTTAAGTATATTTGGAGTAATATGTTTACTTTAAAATATAACTATAAGGGAAATAAAATACAGAATTAAATAGATATCTAAAAACATTTTTTAAGCAAATATGTGTTTAAATTCAATTTTTTTAATTATATTGGATAAAGTTCATTTAATTATTGGAACAATGTGATGGTTCATGTCTTTTACCTGAATCTTCAACACGTAGAGGTAGTTTCACTTGGCTTAATACAGTACTTACGAAATCAAATTCTTTATTGAATAAGTCTTTAATATTGTTTTGTTTTTTCGAAGTCATTATAATATGCATTTGAAAAATGAAAGAGACAAAGAAAAACAACTTGCTTCAATAAAGAACAAATATTTTCAATATTATACACATTAAACTAAATTACAAATATTATTAAGGCACATTTTCAACTACTTCATGTGGAGAATTATCAATGTTAGAATGTACACTATCTCCATATGTTGCCAACCTAATTATCACGTGTTTTGAACCATGTACTTATCAAAATTATAATTTAATATAATATAATCATAGATCTTATAAATGTGATAAGGACATTCGTATTTGTGTTTTCGCGGTCCTGAACTGATATGAAATTGAGGCCGTTTGTTACATTTTAATTGTGATAAGCGCCTAAGATACTGTTTTAGCTTCGATGCAAAGCTGAGAAGGTATTAATTTTACTATGTGTTTTTTTTGTCTATTCATATCTGTACCTACTGTTACAGACACAAAACTTAACTTTAAACTTTTATCTTTTCCTCATGGTTGCTACCAATCTGAAAAAATATAATAAACTAGTTGGGGAAATTATAAAAATGTCAGATATTTTAATGATAATTAAAATTTTATTATACTTTTAAAATAATTAGACCTGTTTTAGCTTTGATGTGAAGCTGAGAAGGTATTAATTTGATTATGTGTTTTTCTTTTTGTTAATGTGTCTGTTACCACTTTTTCTCAGCTCTCACTGAACCAATTTCTTTCAACAATACATCAAAAGATCACAAATCGTATCTAGTCGAAGACATAAAAATTGAAAAAAATTTTCATCGTAAATGGGTTAATGTCCAAAAAAATTACAAACTTAAAAATCTCTAATTTTCGATATCTTTTCCATTTTTTAACTTAAATCTATCATTAATTTTTTAAAAATAACCAAATCAATATAATTTTTTTTTATAGATACGTGAGGTATTTACCTATCATTTGGTATGTATTTTTTTATAAATCTGTCCCTTTATCAGCCCACAGTGGGGGATTCAAAATGACTTAACTTTTGAAAGTGTTCCAGAAACTGACACTTTTATATATATCTTAAATTAAAGCTATTGTAATATACTTAATCATGGAAAAAAAAATGTTGGACTATTTTGTCTTCACGGTGAAAATGACTACCAAATGCTATTTTTGTGTGAAAATTCTCGATTTTGTATTTTAAATTTTTAACTTTATTATGCTATTATTTTTTGAAAAATTTATGGATCAATAAAATTTTTTCATGAGAAGTAGTATTTAAATACATCTTTCATTCGACATACTTTTTTTTAAACCATTTCCCTATATAGGGAGGGGGTTCAAATCTGAAAAATGCATATGGAAAGTAGAACTTTTTGAACTTAACTTTTGAAATTGTTCCGGAAAGTCTAACACTTTTATATATATCTAAAATTAAATCTAATGTAATATACTTTATTATGGAAAAAAAATAATTTCGTACTTTATTTTGTCTTCACGGTAAAAACAGACATCAAAATTAAAAAAAAAATATGCCACGTCCCCACTGTGCTGGGTTTTTTTTTTAATTTTGTAATAAGATATAATGTTTATATAGAGTACGTGTATATAGTGTATACTGTAGGTATACATTAAATTGTTTATGCATTTTACAAAAATATTACTTGCTTTTATATTACATAGAGATAATTATGTCAAAATTAATTCAATAACTTTTATTGGAGCACACATAAATACAGTAATTTGCAATGTTCTTGGTGCTATGTTAACTAATGAATGTATGTTTAGCAGCCCAAATTTTAAGTCAGAGTGTTGCTGATTTTCTGAAATATTTATCAACAATTCATAGCACTTTTAAAAATACCTTAGCTACTACAGAATTTTGTACTATAGGTCAGTTAATGAATGAAGGAGTAATTTTGGCGAATAGCAGAAAAAATTCCCAACCAAATTTTTTTTTTTAAAAAGTTGAATTAAGATATGTATATTGACATACTAAAAGTCCTCATTGATTGGAATTGAGATTTTTTTTTACAGCCTCGCAAAAGTTAAAAAATATGAGCTTTTTTAATTTTCTCAAAAAATATCTAACTTTCAAAAAAAAGATTCGTACAAAAGTTGTTTAAAAGGCAATTTTAAACAAAAATGGTATTTTATATCTTTTCATTTAAACAAATATTTTTCGAGTTACATTACATTTAATATGAGTGCTAAAATTTATTTTCCATTTTTTTCATTTTACGATTACTTTTTATCATGTTATACTTACATTAGACACAATGTACAATACCCGCGTATTTAATACCCATGCATTCATTGTATATACAGGGTGTTCAATAAGTCAGGAAACGGGTTTTGTAACAATGAGAACAATAGAAACCCGTTTCCTGACTTACTGAACACTGTATATATATATTATATTAAATATATAACTATTTAAGGTCACGGGTATTTAAATGCCCGGGTATACACGGATATTTTTACTACACGGACTTTAACCCTGTCATAGAAAAAAACACGAGTACCCGTGTAGTTCATTACACGTGTAATCGTGACCTCTAGTCTTTTACACTCTATTACAGATTACATAATTAGATTTTATATAATCTGCATCTGAATACTAATTATGTTTATTATAATTACACTGCAATAAAAATTATTTTTTGGACATATTGTTAAAAATATTTTCCTGTGTTTTTTCATTACTGCAATTTTTAATTATTTTTTGTGAAAAAAAAATTATATATTTTAGTACATGTCATTAATACTCGATTAGACTTATTATACAGGGTGTTATTAGTGATGAGAAATATCGAATAACTATCGAACTATTCGAATAGTAAAAATATTCGATAGTTACACAATATATTCGAATAGTATAGAAAATATTTGATAGTTTATGCTAAAAATAAAATATTCAGTGGTATAAACACAATTCGAATAGTTAATCGATAGTTTAAAATATGTCAAAATATCCATCACTAATTTCTTTTATTATTAATTGTATCCTATTTATAATCGTAGTAACCTGAATAAACAGTTTTAAACAATCCTATTTAGATCGTTTGTGTTATTTAAACAGCAAAACTATAAATCTGACTATAATTTTACATAAGACCAATATTTTAGAAAATTTAACTTTACATATTTTTTTTACGAAACATTTTGTTGTAAAATTATTATTTCGAAAATTAAGAATGATTTATATTCAAAAAATAAATTTATTATTTTATTTTTTTGAGCAAGTAAAAATAATTTTAGAAAATTTTTGTAAATACCATTTTAGAAGAAAATATTAAAATCTATAATTTATATTCTATACATTGTTACGCTAAGTGGTTTAGTTTTCAAAACAATAATCAAAACCGTAAGTTATCAAAACCAAATTTTACACAAATAACTGTCAAATAATACAAAACAAAATTGGCGGGTATGGAGATCGATCAATGAAAGTTAATAAAATAAGAGCCACTCTAAATATATACTTGCGACTCACCTTAGTTTAATGCTTCAGTGGTATAATTTTTAATTTTAAAATTAAGAAAATTAAATAAAAATCATTAAGACCCAGAAGAATTTCAAATTTTTAAGTTATAAGTTTCAGTGTATTTATTGTTGGTAAAGAAAGTGTTTTCTTTATAAAAAAATTATAAGCTTTTGAATTCACAAAATAAATAGTTAAAGAAGATTGATTCATTTCTTTGCTATATGAATAGTCCCCATTGTCTATCTTTTTGCATTAAATGTGATCTAATTACAATTATGTTTGGAGATTAACATTTATATTGTTCATAATTTAAAAACAAACCGCACAAAAAAACTGGTTGGGTTAAAATTAACAATAAATAAATAAATTTTAAATATATAATGGGTACATCAATAACACAAAGATGAAACGGAACTGAAAAGCTTTAGTAAATTTGAAAAACTTTCATGAATTAAAAAACATTCCAAGTGAACCCTATCTTACGTACTAATACTGCATTAGTACGTAAGATAATATAATCTATGGAATAGATAAGATAAAAATTTATCGCGAGCAAAAAAACAATAAAGGTACATGATGGATAGGTTGCTAACCACTATGGCAGCTGGGAGCCTGTGACTGCTATAGTGACATGCAATCTATGAAGTTTTATGGATTGTTATAGCAAATTAGAGAATTATCGTTTTCTACTATACGATAGTTATTGTACGAATGGTAATGCTAGATAGTGAAATTTATGTGATTACAGACATAATAACAAACAAAAAGTCATTAATGCATAATTATAAAACAATATTTTTCATACTATATTTCCTATAAGTGGCAATATTAATCATAGGAGATTTTGGTATGTTTACATTTTTGAAAATTACGTGATCTGAACAGAAAGTTCATCATCTGGTTTTTCTTAGGGAGTGCGTCCAGGTTTTGTAATATAGTAAATACACAAGAATGTAAAATAAAATAAAATAAATTATTTTATTTTAAATTATAATTTAGTTAAAAAAAAGTATCTTTGTTTCAGAGATTTTTATATAAAATTTATTTAAAAATTAGAGTTTATTTATTTGTTTGTTTTAATTTAACAAATTCTAGTTACATTATACAAATATTTTTTAGTACTATATATGGAAAATGAGAGACCAATTCAAATTTTAGGGGATTTCTTTTAAACACAAATAATTTGATGGAAGTTTACATACGACCAGAATAATATTATACTTAAACAATTATTTTATTTTATTTGCTTTAATATAATTTTCTATTAATTAATAGTATTGGCAAAACTCATACTTTTTTAAGTTAATTTTTTTATTAATTAACTTATTTTAAATACAAAGAAATTGTTATTTATACTACAAGATATTTATTTGTTATTAAATTTATTGTTAATACAAGAATTAATCATGTTAGTTATTACTTGATAGCTTAAATATTAAATAAAATTAAAAACTTTATGCTTCTCTTGAAAATTTAGTTTTTTGACTTAGTGTCTTTTTCCAATTTAATAATCATGAATAAAACAAACAAATTGATGATTAAACTGTCAAATTCACAGATCAGTCAATCAGTAGTTTTGTCTGTAAGGTATCATGTTTATGTGTGTAAATTAGTAATTTGATTCTGTAGCATGAGCTATATAGGTTTTTCTGTTCAATTTTGGCACAAGCAATAGCTTTTAAAAAATAACATTAAACATATAATTAAAGTATAAAACACAATTATCAATTTTTCATTTTAATTACAAATAAAACCTTAATTTTTAACAAAAAAATTCTAAAATATAATTACAACAACAATTAAAATATTGTTAGGATGGTCATTTAATTATAATTATATACAAAGATTTAGTTTTATATAAAATTAAGTATTTAGGACACAAAAACTCAGTCAAACATTTTTACATGTATATAAATTAAGTAACTGGACAATTTTAAAATTAAACTCACAGCCGTTGTTTAACCTAATAGATTAAAAAGTAGATATTACATCATAATGATTATAATAAAATAGGTCTGGGGTAAAGTAACAGAAGTTGATGTTATTTTTCAATTTTCCATAAAGTGCAACTAAATTTTAATAATTTTTTTTTTTACATTTCTCCTAAAATAAAATTATTAATTCCATAGATTTCTAAAAAAATTATATAAATATATTTTAATAGATATGCTAGGATAGAGTTCAAAATTTCTTTATGTTGAACATGTTTTATTGTTAAATAGATATCATTAATTCATATATAGGGGATATGGAATTTATGAATAAATTATAAAATGTAATAGAACTATTTTTTAAGTAAGGAATGGTTAATGTTTAATTTAAAAAGATCACAAATTTTCATATTAAATGTATCAAATATCAATTTTAAAAATTGGTATATCAACTATTAGAATTCTTTCATATCTATAGTTAAAATTCTATATGCTTTTTTAAAATTTTTTTAATGTATAGATATTATAATAAGTATTGTAATTTACTAACATTAAAAATAACTAGGTTATTTTTAAAAAAAACAATGGAAATAAAATTTTAATTTTATAAATATTGTTACTTAAATTGCATTTATGCAATTTGAATATCTTTGGATCTATAATTAAATAAAACACTTATTTAATTAGACTATTACTTTTTTTTTTTATAATATATATAATTTTCTTAATTCTAAGAGGGCCTCTAGTTGCATCTATGATGAATTGAAAAAATTAATGAAATATAAATAAAAAAAAGTAGAATTAAAAAGCATAGTAATCAAATATTTTTGTACTATTTTATATGTACTTGTATATATATATATACACACACTCCTTAATGATTATAATTATATGAAAAAATCATCTTAATAATTGAATCATAATATAATCACTCCAAATATAACTTCTACGGTATATTTAATCATTGTTTAACAATTACATATATTTTTAATATTATTTAATTGAAGTGAAAGTAACAGTAATGTTATATATTATTATCAAAATATATTTTTTCTCAACATCGAAACCATTTTGTTTTTGTGCAAATATTAATAAAATCTTAATATTTATTACATAAAAAAAATAATAATAATAATTTAATTATCTGTTGAATCATCCGTTTTAACAACCTTGATATATTAATATTAATTAATTATAATTTATATTCAAACATAAAAAAATTAAAAACTTTAGATATAGTTAGGGATTTAGTGTACCAAGTAATGTTTACACCACTAAAATTACTAATAATAATAGGGTAATTCATAGTAAGATTAACAAAACTTAAGTTTTAAATATCAGAGTAAAATTTGATCGTTTTACTGTAATAACATATTATCTGCTAGTTTAATTAACACATTAATTTCAATTAAAAAATGAATACTTTATTATTGACTAATAATGACTAGAATATATAAAGACTTATAAGGTAATAATGTGTACTTATGAGGTACTAACATGTTTAAACTTATTGACACAACTCATAAGAGTAATTGAGAATCAGTCATAGTAGTGAATCTACATTAATATTATTTGCTATAATTATTGTTAATGAAAATTAATATAATTTTATGATTTAATACATCAATTAAATAATTTTATTAAATTTTAATGACTAATAAATTTTAATTGCTTTAGTAAAATTTCAATAAATAAAAATTAAAACTTAAAAAAAAAATTTGATTAAGTTTATTTGAAGCTGAAACTTAAGTTTTTTTAGAATGCGTTCCTAAATGAATATTTAGAATGCAAGATGGTTATGACTTAATTTTTTTTATTAAACAATAGCACTTATAAAAAAATTCAGATAGTTATATATATTTTTCAAACAAGAAAAAAAATTAGAAAACAAATTTTCTGTGAATGTTTTTTTTTTACAGAAGTGCTTTCAACAACTAGGAGTTAAATATTTTATTTTAGATTCTATATAATTAAGTTACGTTTAAGAAAAATTAGATTTTTCTTTTATTTAATTGACATATAGAAGCTAAATGATATGGATGTTTTAAATTATATTTTGACATATGTGAATGTTAATGTGAATGATTGTAAATGCAATCTTTTTTTTTTTATTGGATTTTTATTCAAAGTTATTTATAGTAGTAACTTTATATTGTAGAGAAAACAAGATAACTTTTAAATTTCAATGAAAAAGTCTGTTTAACAAAGTACATTGTAATCTGTAAAGAGCTATAAAAGCTATCTATTTAAGTTATATATTCAAATGTATATATTATTTATTAGTTTAATTTACAGATTTTTTTTTTTTTTAATAGTCGAGTAACAATTTTACTTTGTAAAATCATTTTTTAAATTGAAGAATTGAAATTAATACTGAAGGAAGTACATAAAAGTATATTTGACTTATTTACTTTTCTTAAATTTTTAAACCTTGATATATTATGTTGAACATTTATTGGCATCATTGGGAAAGACTAAGGGACCTTAGCCCTTCAAAATTTTGTCTCAGCTTCTCAATAATAATGGAAACCACATGCATATTTATATAATAATACATTTTTCATGGGAAGAAAAATACTAAACTTCCCATAAATTTTCATAAATATTTATGCTATCTTGTTGATATTTGTTGAACTATTAGCTTTATTCACAACATATATTTTTGGATAGGTACTTAAACAAATTTTGATTTTTGGTAAATTAACAAGTAACTAATACCAATTCTTCAATTATAAATCACTTTTAAATTACTGTATGATATGTAACTAATTAACAGACAATATGAAACTATAATATTATTGAAATTATAAGATAATAAGTGACTTTATTTATTTATTATCCATTGCATTCACTGTATTGACTATACTTAAAACAATATTTAAGATATTAAGAACAGCAAGACTTACACTTTCTTGTGTTGACATTTAGTATAGTTCAATTATATTAATTCAGTATGAAATGCATATTGTTCTTGATCAAATTGGATAATTGAATTAGAACCTTGTGTCAGTGTATTATGTAAGAAATTTGATTGATTTTTTAAATAAGATTTAGGAGAATTTTGAACTCTGGCTTGTTCCCATTTCACTAACATTGCTTGTGTTCGATGCATTTTTTCTAATTGTAGTTCTTCAATAGATTGAATATAATCAGATCCCTATAATTAAAATCAAGTTAAAAATTATACTATTTTACATTAAATACAAGTGTTTAAAATATTATTAAGTGATAGTAAAATATAAGAAGAGTTACTAATATTAGTAAAAAGTGATTGCAGAATAAACTTAGACTGGTACCACATAAATGTGAAAGGGTTTGTAAACGATCCAAAAAATCTAGGCGACTCTCTGGAAGACATAGTAAAAATAACTTAAGTATTACAACACACAATAGGATATAAATAAATGCAGACAAAGTAAATTTAATAAAACAATTAAATTAAATGAAGGCAGGTACTATAAATACACTACCTTACTAAAAAGTCAGAGTTTCAGTATTTATGTGTTTTAGTAAACACAAAACATGATTGATCCTGTGAAATAGGAGTGAGAATAATAAAGGCAGTTTATTTAATTGCTTAAGTTTTTTAAGTCAAAACTTATATTAAACTGAACAAAGTCACAATTGTGTACATCAATAGTAATGATGATACTCATATATAGTTGTAAAGTATGGACTATTACAAATGTTACAATAAGAAAATTGAAGATGTTTGAAAATAAATTTTGAAGAAGAATTTTTGAAGTCAGTGGTGTAGAAAGTCTAATTATGAAGTTTAAGAGGAATTGAAAATAAGAACAATATATAAGTTTATAAGAAGACAAAAAATAGTATGGCTAGGACATGTAATGTGACAGAGTAAAGATGAGGCAAGTAGATTTGTACTGCATAGAAGCCAGAAGACAAAAAACCAAGGGGTCACCCTGGGAAGAGGTGGACTGATTATGTAGAAAAAGATTTGGAAGACTTTGGAGTACAGAATTTGAGAAAGTATAAAAATCGAGACAAGTAGAATGATTTGTTAATGCTGGCAAAAACTCTTGGAGAGTAGTAGAATCTGAAAGAAAAAGAAGCATGTCAGAATTATGTTACTTAGAATATGAAATGTAAAATTTATGAGACAGTCTTAATGTATTTTTCTCTTCCTAATCTGGTTTTCAGTCAAATGTAATTTTTTTCTAAAAGGTCAAACAATATGCAAAAAAAATATTATTCATAACTTAATTTAAGCTGATAAAATATTATCAATTTAATACTTAATATTACAGTTATCAAATGTGTTACAATTATATATATATTAATTGATGGCTTTCTTCAATTTCAATTGTGATCAAAATATTTATCTTACCATTTCTATTTTTTCATCCAACATTTTGAAAAAATTAAGCTGGCTAGTAGATAATTGTCTACAAAAATCAAAATATAAAAGTTATATAAAAATATTTAAAAACAAAATTTAGAGTAAAAAATAAAAGTAAGATTAGCTATAAAATGTAAATTAAGAATTAATAATTAAATAAAATAATAATAAATATGTATTATAAAATATTATAGATTTTTTGTACTTGTTCATTTGTATCATTTAAATAGCTCTATATTTCATAAAATTAAATGAAATAATAATACTTACGAATTAATAAATAAGGAAGTAGAATTCTGTATACCAGATATTCTTTGTTGTAAAGGACTACTATCTTCAAATTCAGATATTCCACACAAATTATTTATAGAAGGTGTACTTGTCAACTGTATTTGTTCTATATTTTGATTTTCATACATACTTCCATCGCTTTTTTCTTCATCTTAAACATAAATAATTCTTTATTAAATCATTCAGTAGTTTTTTTTCTAAAAATATTTTTACTAAAATTTAAATAATTAAATAAAATTAAAAATATTAAATAATGTTAAAAAATACCTGAATCTTTAGACTTATTTTTTTTCTTCTTGGTCTTTTTTAAGTATGATAGTCCAAAATGGCTTGGGCTACAGCCCATACTATACAAAGGTAATCAGTAAAATACTAACATCACATTTCATATAGACTAATTTTGATGCATTGATATTGATCATTGTGAATAGAGCCATAAAAATTGTTTGGTAACTTAAAATTGAAGAAATATTCATAAGACAATAATCTTGAGATATTCATTATACTTTATAAAAAACATATATGCATTAGATTCATAAGTGTATTAACAAGTTATTATTAACAAAAGGAAAAAAATTGTTCATTATAATTTAAATTAACTAAATAAATAATTTACTAGAATCCTTAAATATAGCGAACAATGTTTTAATAGAATTTATATCTATGAGACTTAAATTATTAATATTATATTTAAAGTATTTATAACATTTTAAATAATACATAGATCACTGAAAATATTAAATAAAATATGATACGACAGACACTATTTATAATCAGTGCGTGCTTAGGTGTGACCCAAAATGATAGTATTTTTTGAACAATTGTTGCACTTGTTTATTTTATTGATATGTATAAACTATAATCAGACCGGTACCATATAAAAATTTTCATGTTTATGAACAATTGACGACATCATATCGTATGATTTACTACAATACTTTTACTTGATATCGAATCGGACACTTAAATCGATACTTAACATTTATTGAAACAAAATATCAACTGAAGAAAAAAAATCTTATCGTGGTGTTATTATTGGCGTAATTAAAAGTAGATAAATTATTTCATCAATCATCATACTTTATGGACATAATTTGTCATTTGCCTAAGCTATGTGATACCCCCTGCTAATTCACTCATACAAAGCGAAAGTAATGGAAGGTACAATTTTTTTATTTTCTAAGAGAACAAGAAAGGTTTATTTCTCATTTTATTCAAAGGTTGTGATCCTTATATAAATTATAATTGATGGTAGTTTATTTAATTGAATAAAGTATGGATTAATATATTATAATAAAATATCACAATATTGATTTTAATTGTATATAATTTATTTTATTATTTATAACTACGGTTTTCTAAGAAAACCATATATCTTCCTCCAATGTCTCCCAAGAAGAGTAACTTCTCCAAATAAGAATTTGCTAATCGGTTTCTTGATTGATTAATTGTAGCATTCGCCTTTGAAAAAAGCCTTTTATATAGTACCGAAGTTGCAACAATTAAAGAATGAATTCTTGTTTGATAATAGAATAATGGGAAGACATTTTTCATATCTTCTCGGTGTTCTAGGGGATCAAATTTTAATGTAATTATAGAGCTAGCTAGATATTGAGATAATTTGTTTGCCATTATTCCAGAACTTTTCTTTTGTGACTGACTTTGTACTAATACCTCATGTGTTTCCCAAAAATCCTACTTATTTACTAACTTTTATTACAATTTTAATGACATATTAACACATTTAACCTTAGTATTAATTAAGGCACATATTTGACATTTTTATTAAGCTATATCCCTAAAATTTACTTCTGGATCACCTTATTTTAACACCAATTCATATTGGTTACTATGATTTATAAATGGGAGGCCTTATCATACAGAATTTCAGAAAAATTATACATACAAGTTGATTTATTATTGTGAATAATTCAATATTTTTTATTATTATTTTACAATAAATTTGTATGGTTTATGGTAAATGGTTAAAAAAACTTGTATTTTTCTCTATATACTGATGATACAACAATAAGAATACATTGTGGGATCTTAACATTATTATTATTAAATATTTTTCTTCTTTAAAAAATAAATACTGGTAAATTGTCTGTCAATATATTTTAATTAATCAAATTCATTTTCCACAGAAATTAAAAAATATATATTATGGTTTAAAATCTAAAATATGTTAACATTTAAAGCATTTAAAACTATAATTCATAAAACATATAATACATAGGTCATAGAAAAGTTTACTTAAATTAATATTGTAAAAACAACTTTGTCAAAATATTAAAAGTTACTTTGTACAATAACATAATTTTATACACTTAACTAGAACTATTAAAATAACTAAATACAATATTTTATTAAATAAAATACAAAAGTAAAAGATAACTTTATAACATAAATTTTTTTTTCATTTTTTTAGGTTGGTTAGAACTAACTGGATTGGTATATCCTGGGGAAATTTAAGTGCATTGGTGCCTTGTGCACTGGGACACATGGTGCTTTTTAACCACCGTAGAAGTGCACGCAAGGTCACCCATCCGTTCACTTACGGCGGTAGGCGCGGCTTAACAATAGAGTTTTGTCAACAACTAGTGACCACCGCGCCACACCACGTCCCTAACATTCATATTAAATATTATTTTTTTCAGAACTTGAACACTTAAAATTCTTCATTAATGAATGATTGAATTAACATACCAACATTCTTGTCAAATCCAATTACTAAAAATGTATTACTTCTCCCAAAATTACTTTGTTCTGAATGTTTACCGTTAAGACAACATACAATAACCCTACATAAAGAGGAGCATAATATTTAACACCAATAATTTACATTATTGAATTTTAATTTTTTTAAATTGACATTATTATTTGATATTAATATCTAAAATTATCTTTAAATTTATAGTCTAGTTTTCATAAATTTTAATGATGTAAATGTTTGTAAATAATTGTATTACTTTTTTTTTATGAATAACTATTATAAGAGTGGGTTTTTAAAGAACTAATCATGTAATTATTAACCATTATAAGTAATATTTATAAACATAGGTCCGTATATAAGATTTAAGTGCAGGATGACTAAAAAATCTTCAAAATTTTTTTTTCCAACCTCATTAGTTTTTAAAAATTATAGCATAAATTATAGTACATTATATTACTGCTCTACCAATAAGAACATGTTAATCTTAGAGTAAAATTTAATAAATCCTTTAATTTTTTTATTTATTGCTGTAGATAATATTAATATTAATGATGAAAGAAAATCTAGCAATATAAGAAATAAAAAAAGAAATTTTGACCGGCTGTATGTTGACACTATAGATTTTGCTTCTTATATATTGTATAAATATATTCTATAAATTTTTGGAGGGACTATTACTTTTATGAGTTTGCCTCTAAATACGGCTTTGCTAAAACCAGACTCTGAATAAACAATCAAACACTTGAATTTTGCAAAAATGACTTAATTCAACAAATTTACTCAAGAACCTTAAATATAATATTAGTATGTATAAATAGTGAGAGCAAATTACACGTCACTTCTTCATAAACAATGGTGTTTTGAGGAGTATACAGCATATATCCATTTTAAAATTAACAGACAGAATGTAAAAATCCAAAACTGCATGTATATATATTAGAATATTAAAAAAAAAAATTTACTATCTCTTCTATAATGTATGTTCATTATAGAATTATTATAATTTTATTTCTTATAGGCTTAATTTACTACTAAAAATAAGAGAATCTACAATTTTTAAATATATGGTGATTTTTCATTATAAACCATACAATTACTAACAGAATAAAAATAATTTTGAAAACATTTCTTTTGGTTACCTTTAATTACATATTATCCTTATTTTACTAGCTATGTAATACTCTTTAAGTTCATCCCTTATGCCTTGTAAAGGTGTTAAATTTGTTATTACAATTAAGAACACATATTTCAAATTTAATAAAATATTGGACTTTTTATTTTAATAATAAATGGCATTTAATTTTTAGAATAACTTTAATCATTTATAACATATAAAACTTAAGAGTTTTAATTTTTTGAATTAATATACATTTATAATATAGAGGGATTATAAATACATTTAGCTAATTGCATTTTTATGATGTCTTTCTTCACAGCTACACAATGTTTATAGTCAATTATGAATTTAAAGCCACCTTTACAGGGCACTAGGGATATAATACAAAATTAGAGGTAACCAAAAAAAAAAATTTCAGTTATTTCTATTCTATTAGTTATTGTGTAATTTATGATAAAAAAATCATCATGTATTGTTTCTTAAGATGAAGAATCATACTAACAGTAACTTAAAACTTACTTTATTGGTTTTTTTAGGTACATACTGTAATCTTTCATAGCTTTTTTAATATTTTTCAAATGCATATTATTACTTCCCAAAAACACAAACACATCATATTTCATTTGTTTTCCTTTTGCCCAATCCATAATAGATAAAGGGTGTATAGGATTAATAACTTCATTTCTTTCTTCATATTCATCAACTTCAGATGACTAAAAAAATTCAATAATAAATAAGATTTTTTTTGTTATTTTTATTTATAATTATAACAACCTTAAACATAAGAGTTTCTAAATTTGAGTAAGTGACATTTTTATCGTAATCAATTTCAATTGGGTTATAAGGTTTTCCAGAATCATCTAAACCTACTATAATTGGTTTGTTGCTTTGAGATTTTTCATGCCAAATTATAGATAATGTTATCAATGATACAGCTTCATGAGCTTTAATTAAATGTGAATATGCACAATTTTGTTTCTTCATATATTTTCTGTTATCATATGATATTAAAATATGACGTCCTGTTGGTTTTAGTATCTAAATAATTAAAAGTAATCATTAAATATATAACTTTACAAATAAATAAAAATTATTAAGTTTAGAATTTACTTTTAAAGTTTTGTTAATTAGTTCTTCAGACAAAAATTTAATCAATGAAGCTGATAACTTTGGAGGGGGTTTTAGCAAAATTGTTGTCGTATGCCGAGAAGTCTGATTTTCAACTTGGATAATTAGATCTTCAGCAAGTTGTTTACTTAGATTGTCCAAATTATTTGAGTCATCTGATACTTTTTGAGTACTACTGTAAGTCATTTTTTTGTCCTTAAGATTTAATTTACTGGTTTCAACCTTATTTTCATTCCACTTAGTTTGTTTTTTATTGTTATCATTTTTAATCTTTCTTTTTAAAGCAGGCTGTTCAGAATTTTTATCACTTTTATTCAACTTAAAATTTGATTTCAAATTGTTACTTAATTCAAATTTAGTATGCGATGGTCCAGCTTGGAAATTATATTCATTCTGTTTCATTAAATTGGAACTTCCCTCAACTAATGGTTTTAATATTTTTTTATTTGACTTAATAACTACTTTTAACTTATCATCTGGTAAATTAGTATTTTCATTTTCCTGTTTCTTCATTATATTATTTTGTATTTGAATTATATTTCTAAAAAATTAAAGTTAAAATAAATTATATAAATAAGAAGCTGAAAGTTGTTACAACCATGTAATTATAGTAATATATATAAATAGAATAAATGAATTCATTTAACAAGTATAATGATATAATTACAGATAATTAAAATTAATATGATAGTGATAATATAGCTTTAAAGTGTTACCTCTAAATATATGAAATTATTTGTTCAACTTAATTAGTAAAATAAGTAATGATTTCAATTTTTTTTTAAAAAGATAACTCCATCTGTTTTGACAAACAGATGCTAATGACTAAAACATAGTTAAAATAAATATAGTTTAAAAAAACTAAAAAAACACGCTTTTAAAGCACATCGAACTAAAAAGTTAAAAATAATTTTTAAAATAAGTTTAAAATAATTATGAACGAAAAATACTAGTATTATTGCGATAAAAGCGTCGGGCGCTCAATATACGAAAAATATGGCACAAAGCACCCACACTTTTATCACAATAATACTAGTATTTTTTGTTCATAATTATTTTAAAAATTATTTTTAACTTTTTAGTTCGATGTGCTTTAAAAGCGTGTTTTTTTAGTTTTTTTAAACTATATTTATTTTTTACTTTTTAGTTTTATGTTATGATAGTAGTTACTATCAATATCATGGTTGTAACGGGTAACGAGAATACAGGTTCGATTCCGGTGAGGGAGTCTGAGAAACGGCTACCACATCCAAGAAAAGCAGCAGGCGCGCAAATTACTCACTCCCGGAACGTGGAGGTAGTGACAAAAAATGACGATACGGAAATCATCCCTCGTAATCGGAATGAATACTTTATATCTCTTAGAATAAATCGTGTTAATATATAAATTTTAATAGTTATATGCGACAAATAATGGGACTTAAGTACGTAAACGTATCATGCACTAGGTATAGCCGTGTTTTGTGGGCTTGCGGGTCGGACTAACGTTATACCTGAGGTATAAACGGCGGTAGGAATATATACGTAAGCCGTATGGTACGCGGATGGTATTGGTCAGTCAAAATAAAAATTTGTTTATATATACATAATATTGATGACAAGCATGCGTGTACGGGTACGATAACTAAAAATAAATTTTTATAGGAATAGCGTTGCCGTCGTGTGGGGAGCGAGGCGTGGGGTGGGGTGAATGCGTTTTGACAGTCTAGTCTAGACGACGGAATATGCGATAACGCGTGGCGTTTGAAGAGTTACAAACATACATACATACAGGTGAAACTAATATAAGCGTTTTAAAAAAAACTCATTTTTGAAAAAAAGTAAATCATGACATTTTTTAATTATAGATATAAATATATATATATAGATATATAAAAAAACCCATCACAGTGGGGTCGTGACATAGTGGGGATGTTGCATAGTTGGGTCCAGTATAGATTTAATCTGACAGTGATTAAAATCACTATCATAAGAAACGCTTCGATGTAAATCTGTAGGTAGTGTTTAATTTTAAAAAATTGATGGATAATTACAAAAGCAACATCAACTTCTATTTTCTTAATTATACCAAGATTAGTAATTCTTTTAATTATATATTATATAATTTTTAAAATTAATTGTTTTCAAATTATTATTGATTTTGATTTTTAATATGTTAAAAGTAATCATTTTGAACCTACTTTTTTTGTCTTTTAAAGTGAAAGTTTTAATAAAAAAATATGAAATTATTACCATAACTTTTAGCTCAACTTGCAAGTTTGAAATTGACATTATTAAATAGAAAAAAATAAAATTGTTAAGATTAATATACAATCAGGAAATTTTATAATTACTATTTACAGTACATTTATCAGAGAAGTTCGATTTCTTTTACATTTTTATCGTAATAGATCACTTAAATAAAAATCATAGTAATCATTTCTAATTAACTTTTGGTGTTTAAAAAGATTCTACAATGGAAATATTCAGAATTTAATTAATTTTAATGATTATATATCTAAAAAAACCAATAAAAAAAAGTTGTTAAAAAGATTTACTTAATTGAGCGTATTATAAAATTTGATTATAATTGTAAAAATCCATCTTTAAATTCAGGTGAAACTAAAAATCATTTTTCTTTTAAATTTATGATTTATATAGCAACATGTTACGAAAAATTTTTGAATATTATAGACTGGTAGTAGCACACACAAATAGAGTTAAAAAATTAACAAATTACAATGTAAAATTATTTACTTCTGTAGTTGAATACTTTTATCATATAAAATCCAATTCGACAATAAATACTTTAAGAATATTAGAAATTAATGATTTGTATGGAAAAAGCTGGTTAAGCTACTTTTTACTTGAATAAGAAATATTTTTTCGATTTTTATGAGTAATAACTTAAACTAAATACAAATTGTAATCATTTGACGTATCGTTGAAAAAAGTAAGTCTAGTGAGGGTTGCCAAAAAAAAATTTTAGCCACAAAAAGAACCACATATTATTATTAAAATAAAATAATATTAACATGAATATCAATTTCTTCTCACAAGGGGAGACTATAGTGATTGGATCCTTTATATTTATTGAAGTTATTGAATCTAAATGAGATAAATATCAAATGATTTGAAAATTTTATTTTATTTTTAAAAAAATATAAAATATTAATAGCCACAGACGGATTTGAACCTCGTACACCAAGCGTGAAAGAGACAAGCGATACCAATTGGGCAACTATTCGTTGCTTTCGTTACATGATAAAATTGACTATTTGAGCCAACTTAAATTTAAAAATTACTTTTGCAACTTGAAAAAAATAAAAAATTTTTAATAAGTTTAATTTCTTATGTCTTATGAACTTTATTCTATGTCAATTAAATTATAAAATATTCATGAAAGTCAGTGTATTGCCCTTATAAGTTATTTTAAGATAAAATAAAATACAAAACCCAGGATTTTAACACAAAAATAGTAAATTTTTGAATACGGTAGCCATGTGCGCAAAGAAGATAGGTCGTCAGGACAAATTTTTTTTTTAATTTTATAGTACATGACATAAGCTTTAATTTGACATATGTTTAAAGGACGCAGTATTTCAAAGATTAAGTTGAAAAAGTTAATTTTTTGTAAAAAAGTTACCATTTTGAAACCCTTCCTGTGGGCTGTTAAAGGGTCAAATGTTCACAAAAATATATAAAATGATAGGTAAATAACTAAGATATTTATAAAAAAAAAATTATATTGATTTGAACATTTTTAAAAAAGTTATGGCACTTTTAAGTAAAAAAAATTGAAAAAATATCGAAAATTAGCAATTTTTAAATTTGTAATTTTTTGGGGGATTTCCCCCGTTTACGGGGAACGAGGGAATTTTTTTCAATTTTTGAGGGTAATGTCTTCGACTAGATACGATTTGTGATCTTTTGACATATTGTTCATTAAAATCGGTCCAGCGAGAGCTGAGATTAAGCGTTCACAGACACAAAAAATAAAAAAAAAAACACATCATAGTAAAATTAATACCTTCTCAGCTTCGCATCGAAGCTAAAAAAACACATCATGGTAAATACAAGGTACAAGGTGGCAATATTTTTAGGGTATAATTTTTTGTTCCCAACTATCTCAATATAACTCTTAAATAATTGCATATATCCCATAATCATTACATTTAGCTAATAGTTATTATTGAGTTTAATGTTTCATTTAAATTATTATAATTTAATTATTATAGGTATTTTAAATAAATAATCATAATAATAATTAATAGAAATATAATTTGATAAAAATTCTTACGGTCCTGTTCTTGAATATCTTGCAAACTGAATAAATGCCTCGATGGGATGTATTTTTTCTTTTTCGAGTTCCATAACATTATTAAATCTTAAAATGAAGTTCCACAATCCTTCTTGTGGAGCTATGTTTAAAAATAACTTTTTTTTTGCAAACCGAAATGTGTTGTCTAAAAGAGTTTTGAGTGGCATGTGTAATACAAGTGAGTTAATAATCTATATAAAAATAGTAAAAAATAAAAACATTAAATCTAACATTTATATATTTATACTAACTTTTGAATTGTTAAGCATTTTTTGTGGAATAACTTCAAATTCTTCTCCCCACTTATTTAAACCAATATCTTTTTGTAAATTGTCCACATCCATTTTTTTCAAATTATTTATTTGTTTTAAATAATTATAAATAAATGTTAACTGTTCTCTAGCAAATTTTTCATTTTCTTCTTGAATTGCTAATAATTTAGATTTGAACATTTCCTCTACTTTTTGCATTCCATATAGTGTGTGAGTAATATATATTTGATGACCTAAAACAATTCCTAATTATATATACTGGATAATAAGGGTCATCAATGATATTTCATCGATTATTCTAGTAATTGCAATAGCAAAATATATTTACTATTGATAACCTAATGAATTAATTGTCAATATTGTAATACTTAGATTGTTTAGACCTTAGTTATATAATATATAATCTATATTTATATAATGACACTAAATATCCTTATAGAATAAAAAAAATTAAATTTTTGATTATCTATGGATGCATAGCTTATAGTCAGTTTCTAAAAAAAAATATTGAATAAATTAAAAAATTTCCTCCATTTTTTTAATACTTTAATTTGAAATAACTTAAAATAACTAATATTTTATCCAATTATCAAGTTATATTAAGTTTTCGTGATTAAAAATAAAGGAAATTCACAGTATTTTAATATTATATATGTATTGAAGTTTTACAAAAAAAAAAAAAAATCCTGCCGATATTAAAATTTTAAAATTGTTGTCACCCCTAGATAATATTAAATTTTATAACATTATTCTAGTACATGGATCATCAGAGTGAATATGAACAAGCTTCATTATATCTTTATGTGTCCATCCTTCATATTTTTTATGTCTTATAACCAGTTCTGTTGTTTTTAATGGATCTCTTTTCAAATACCAAGCACAAATAGCTTTGCGGAATCCTCGACTAAATCCTGATGATTTGTTTTGTAAAAAACCTAAAAGAATTTTGACCATAATTTATAATTAATTTTTAAATTATAGGGTAAATTTTTTTTTTAGTTAACCTTGCTCATAAAGAATTTGTCCTACAATTTTACAAAAATGTACAAACATTAAAAGTTGTAATCCATTGATACAAACTATTGATACAGCATCATAAGCATCTTGTACCATCTTCACACAATTTATATTTAAAGTTAATTTAGCACAAATGGCTAAACTAAATATTAAATGTTGATCATTAGTCAGTATATTTTCTCTTTTTACCTTAAATGTTTTCAATAAACATATTAAGTTATCATAAATATATTTTTGATATATTACAATACTTTTAATATTATTGGTACAATTGAATTTATTTCTTCAGGTTTATTTTTCTTTACAATATTTCCAATAATTTTTATACCGTCGAGGTAATTATGGTTTTCTTGTCGATATATCTTTTGTTTGATTTGTGGAGGAACATAAATAGAATGCTCATTTCCCAGAAAGAAATAACGGCGTAATTTATACTCCAGAAGTGTGTATGAAGGCATATTGAATCTATTAATAAATGAGCAAAATTTAAGCTAAGTATTATACAGAAAAACATATTACACATAACATGTAATTCATTTAAATAGATTTAATTTAAATAGATAGAATTTAAAAATATAAACTTAAATTTATAAGACATTAAAATCCAAACTATAAATTTTTATTAGAAAAAAAAATGTGTTATGTTATACAGTACACTATTTTCATAAAAATTTTTAACAATTAATCCATACTAATTACTGAATTTCATAAAATCTCTTTAAAAATAATTGTATTCATTTTTACTGTTTATAATAAAAATCATAGTCAATATTAGCAGACTTACTGTGTTTATATTATATTGTTGTGATATACAAACGAAATTGATTTTTTTTTTAATTCTCAAGTTAAAACGAGTTAATCAATAATGTTTACTAATCATAATATTTTAAATAGATTTCTTATACATTATTGTAATTATTTATAATAAAAAAAATTAAATTAATGTTTATAATACTTGTTTTTAATAATTCTGACAATGATTAATGATAAGATCATCTCTGATAATGATAAAAATAAAGAAATAAACATAGATCTATCACAGACTATATAGTCTGTGGATCTGTTAAGATAATAAAGAATTTTTCTATTATTTATAACTGTGTTATCTAAGAAAATATTTTATTTAGCAGACTATTATAATATGTTTATTCATGTTAAGTCAAACATATCAAAGTCATTCGATTTAAATTCGAAAATGGAATATGTAAAGCTAGAATTATCCTAAAATAATTTAAACTTTAATATCTAAAGGGATTTATGACAAAATAAATTATTTTTCTGTTGTTTTTCATGTTAAAATCAATACAAATGTTTAATTTTTTAGGATAAATATTTTTAAGAAATAAAATTTTATCATATTTTTTACAATGTAAAATAGATAAATTATATCTTTCGGTATAAATAAATATTCACATCACTCAGAATATGAAAACTAACTTTATATTTTTAATTCTTTTTCGTCGATTTTATTGTTTCTCTTAAATATTTACTGTACATATTTTTTTATAATAAAATGTTTTTCAAAATTTTTTTTCTAAATAAATCATTTACACTAACTGTTGTTGGTGTATCAAGTTTTTATTTTGGGATGTGGTGGAATAAGTTTAATACATCATCAAACCCTTATATTTCAAGTTTTAAAATATTTGATGCTGTAAATGCAGATAATGTTGTTTCTATGGATAGTCAAATTACTAGTCTCAAAGAACAAAGAATTTCACAAGTAAGATTAGAATTTAATATATAAATGTTAGAATTGTAAAATTTAAAAAAACTACTTAGTTTACTTCTTTTTACTCAGAAAAAGCTTGTATTATATTTTGTCTCTATTTCATTAGTACTGTAAATTAATTTTCCCAAATTTCTGTGTTGGCAAATATTTTTACATGTATAATTTTTTATTCTATTATAAAATTTAAGACAATACTCCTGTTAAAATTATATTTTAGAGAAAATAGTTTTCCTTCCTAAATTGTATAAAAATTCATGTGATTTTTATTTTGTTAGATTATGAGATATGGGTTTCCAGGTATGGATAATATACGGTCATACAGCAACTTTGTTTTGTCATATGATCAGAGAAATCGCATACCTCATTGGGTTTTAGAACATTTAACACCTGAAAGTGTGAAGTATAATTCCAATGTTGATAGGTCATTATGTGAATTTTTCGAGGATACATCTTTCCATCCATTTTTTAGGTTAATATCGTAACTATAATATTTGCACGATCATTGGTATAATAATCATGCAAATATCAATTCATTAATCATTTGGTTTAGAGCAACAAATAAGGATTATAAAAACAGTGGCTTTGATCGTGGTCATTTAGCAGCAGCTGGAAATCACAAATCTAATCAAGAATTAGTAAATCAAACTTTTGTTCTTTCAAATATTGCCCCTCAAGTTGGAAATGGGTTTAATAGAGATGCTTGGAATCAGTTAGAAAAATATGTAAGAAAAAAAGCAAGATATAATAAAAATGTTTATGTTTGTTCTGGACCAATGTTTTTACCAAAGTAAAATATTTTTATTTATTTATTTTTTAATACAAACTTTTTTTTGTAACTTTTTAATGTGAAGTAAAATAAACAATTTTTTAACAAAATATTAATCATATGGGATACTTCCATTCTTAAAAATGAATAGTGACATTCAGAATTTCTAATTGAGATTTGGCATATCAAAGTCATATATATTTTTTTGCTCATTACTTTTTCTTGAAATTTATTTTACATTCATACATCCTTTCCTGTCTACTCAACTATTAACACTAATTTAAAGGGGTATAAACCATTCACACTGAAATTCAAGTCAAAAATTACAATAATTGTAAATAATTTTTTTGCAAGACTACGAAATTGCATATCAGAGGGTCATAAAAAATTTTTGGATTTAATAATTCATGTAAAAGTTATTTAAACCAATTTTTCAATTGCTTTCTAGTAAACATTTGAGTAAACTAAATAAAAATATGTATTTTACTGTCCAATATTTTTGTATATAAAAGTTTTTACAAAAACTAAAATACTAGTTAAGGTTGAACTTATTACCTTAAAAGTTTTTATATTTAACATTTAAAAAATAATAAAAAGGAATACTCGGTTTATAAGTAAAACTAGTTATTCTAAATTTTCTTTAAGAACCAACACTATATAATTAATTGCAGTTATATATTTGTTAATTTTGACTTTATTTATTTGTATTAGGAAAGGAGATGATGGTAAATTATGGGTGAAATATCAAGTAATTGGCGATAACCATGTAGCTGTCCCAACACATTTTTATAAGATTATTGTAATTGAAGGAAATGATTCAAAGTTCTATTTAGAAAGCTACATAATGCCCAATCAAGTGATTCCAAAAAATATACCTTTGAAAGATTTTCAGGTGATTTTTTTTATGATAACATATTTATGAACATGATAAGGTTAAAATATTAGCGAGTATAACTATAATAAAAAAAAAAATTTCTGATTGTATACTTAAAATAATTTTAATTTTGATAATCAACAAAATTAGTGATATAATTAAGTTCTGATTGATTTGAACTCTCAAAAAGTTTTTGAATTTGGTATAAGTTAGGCTTTATGTTCAGTTTTAAATTAGTTTTGTATATAGTTCATAAAAACATATTACATAATTAATATGTTTATTTTGAATTATTCATAAACCTAAATATTTAAATAACATGATAAGAAGTATAACCTATCAAGTTTTAGCTTTTTGTATAAAAAGAAATATTTTATTAAAGTTACAATAATAATTATTCATTTACCTTAAATTAAATAAATTTAACAATTTACCCTAGTGTATAATCATCTTCAATGATGAATTAATAAATAAATAATAAGTTAAAAATTGTGACTATTTTTATTGTTAATTATTAAAATAAACCTTTTTTTATAGATGCCTTTAGAGCTAATTGAACGTGCATCAGGTTTGCAATTTTTCAAACAGTTAACACTTGATAAATTTGCCAAAATCAACAATTAGAACCATATATTAGTCAAAATTACTGTTAATTTATATTGATAGAAATATAATATTTTTTTTATAAAGGAAGTATTAATTTTCATAATTGTATTTATATTTATTTTTTAATCATGTTTATCTCTAAATGTTATTGCTTCTATATTAAAATTCAATTTTTCAATTGTTTTTATATTTAATTATTAATTCTTACATTTTTCTTTCTTAAAGTAAAAAGAATATTTTCTGACAATAAATAAATAAATTTTTATATGTGACAAATATTTAATAATAACAATTTGATTTTCAATTATTTTTTAAATAAGTGTATAACATTTCATAAGTTGTCCAAGATATTGCTGTCATTAATGATCGCCGGATTAATCTAACAGATAGTCCACGAAAATATCCATTAATTCCATAATTCTAAAATAACATCATGATAATTACAAACAATTATTTGTTAATAATTTCTTATATTTCAATTAAAATTTTAATGAAAAATTACTGATGTGGATAGATAATAAGTACACTTTCTTAATATTTATGTTTCAAAAAAGTAAATACATTGTAGATTTATATTGAAAAAATATTAAAGTTATAAGTGATTTTAATCAGTATTAATGATTAAAATAAATAATGATTCATTATTGTTAAATAAAGTATAACTTCATTAAGACACTCCTGATGAGAAATTAAAAAAGACGTTTTAATGATGTATAGATATTTAAAATGTATATAATGTGGTATCCCACCTTATTCCACAAGTAAACATTTTTCCAAATTTATGTAAGTCAATTTGAGGAAATTCATGAGAAATTAAACATTTTCTAGTCCCTTCCAAATATTTGCAAATGTTTGATTTACTTTTCAAATATTATGAACAAAATAAAATAATAATAACAAAAATGTTTTTATAAACACTTTCAATAACACTTACTTCTTGTATTAAAACTATTGATTTGATAAATGATTGTCTATCCTTAGATAATTGCTGACTAGATTTAATTACATCAAAAGGATGAGTAATAAATGATGCAAATATCCCAGAGAATAGTCCACAATTAAAAATATAAAAAGATTGTTTTCGGGTTGACTCTAGAAAAAGGCAATAAGCTTGAAATATTATTTTTTAACTCTTAAAAAATGAATTAAACTTTATATAAATTTTAATTGAAATTAACAATAAGAAAATAATAATTATAAATTATTGAGTGAGAGAGGAATAGCTGCACCACTTCCTCACTACCAGTCAAAGTTGAAATTTATTTTAACTACTAAAATACTGTTACATAGTTATTATCGATTAGTAATTTTTTTATATTGATCATTTTTTATTTTATAAGTTAGTTAAACATGTATGTTTCCATTTTAAAAAACCCACAGTGGTGACGTGGCATAGTTAGATCAAGTATAATGATATCTGACAGTGATTAAAATCACTATCATAAAAAACGCTTCGATGCAACTTTTTAGATAGTGCTTAATTTTAAGAAATTGGTGGATTATTACAAAAGCTACATGATCTGCTATTTCCTTATTTATATCCTGATTAAGATAAAGTATATTATTATTATAAGATAAAGTATGTCAAATGAAAAAGGAATATAAATATTATTTCTCATAAAAAAATTGTGTTGATCCATACACTTTTCAATAAGTTATAGCATTATAAAGTTAAAAATGTAAAAAATAAAATCGAGTATTTATACAATAATAGCATTTGGTAGCCATTTTCACAATGAAAACAAAATAAAGTCCGAATTTTTATTTTCTATAATAAAGTACATTACATTAGCCTTAATTTAAGAAATATATAAAAGCGTCAGACTTTCCGAAAAACTTTCTTCAAAAGTTAAGTTCAAAAAGATGTCATTTTAAATCCCCCCCTGTGGGCAGGTTGATACCAAATGATAGGTAAAGACATTAAGCATTTATTAAAAAAAAAAAGTTAAAATGATTTGTTCATTTTTGAATAAGTTATTGCAGTTTTAAGTAAAAAAAATTTCGAAAATTCGCGATTTTTAAATTTGTAATTTTTTTGGAAAATTTTCCCCATTTACAGGGAACGAGGGAAATTTTTTCAATATTTGAGTGTAATTTCTTCGACTAGATACGATTAGTGATCTTTTGACGTATTGTAGAAAGAAATCGGTTCGGTGAGAGCTAAAAAAAAGTGGTAACAGAAACAAAAAAAAAAAAACACATTATAGTAAAACTAATATTATCAGCTTCACATCGAAGCTAAAATAAAGTTGACATCTCTATAAGAGATAAGGGATGAACATATAACAGATAAATGGAATTACATATGTAACTAATAAAAGCCAAAAAAAAAATTATTATTTTAAGAAAAATTGAATGGATAATGTTAAAACAATCACCTTGTATAAGAAAAATACTTTTTTTTCATTGCTAAATATATATTTTTTTTAAGTTTAAAAAATTTTTGGAAAAAGTGATTAAATAAGAAAATATGAAATCACCCAGTAAATGTTAGTAATACTTAAATTTTATGTGATTATATAATTATTCATGTTTATGTCATTAAGATTTAACATTGCAAATAGACTTTGATCAAGTTTTCTGAATTACTAACATCACAGAGAACTTAAAAAATTGGATATTTGATTTTAAAGGAATTATTGTGGACGAATTAACAAAATCTACCTTCAAATAGTTGACAGTCTTTTAGTTTCATATACAACATAAAATATAAGCCTGAAAAAGGAGCATCTCGTAACAATGTTGCAGTCCAACCACGGCCCATCACATTCCATCCTTCTAATTTGTACATATTGATTAATCCACTTTTTAAACTACTATAATGATAATAACCACTCTAAAATAATAAATAACATTAAAACATTAAATATACTTTTTTTAAAATATTATTTTTTCTTTTTAAAAACAAATTTTCAATTAAATTATTTCCAAAAATATTTATATTTATTTCCTTAGTCTTACAAATGTGTAACTTTTTTATGAACACCCCTAGAAAAGTAATAAGAAAGTAATAGCAAATAGCATCCATAAAAAATTTAAGTTCCTTCGAAAATACTGAGATTATTTTAAAAAAATGATAATAAAATAATAGATGACAAATAGTTAGCTTTATTTTCATATATATACTTATACGGAGGGTTAGTAAATTCAATGTCACGAGTAGTAGAATGATATTCAGTACGACATAAAAATAGTGAAATCAAAAACTAAAATTTTTTACCTCCAAAATTGGGGTTTTTCTTTTTCCCCCACTTCAAATTTTATTTTAATCAAAAATAAATAACACCATGGTATTTCCCACAAAAGTCTCATACAAATTGAGCGGTCACTTGATTTTTTGTAACTTTCGTGCCCACTCCTAAACTTTAGGTTCAAAGTTGGAAAAAAAATTTACTTTAGTGTGACTTATCAATTTTTATTGAAATTTTACTGTGAGTCATGTGATGTAGTTTATTTTTAGTTTAAGCGATTACATAATGAGAAAAACTGGAAAACCCCACAGATAATGTGATATTTTTTTAATTTCACAAGTTTATTTCGTCTTTTATTATTTATTCAAACCAATTATAATTTTTATCATTAAAACTGTTATAAAATTATAATTTTTTTTCTTTGTAGGTTGTAAAAATAAAATAATCACAAGATTGAAATGAATATTTTAAACTTTATTACAATAGGACAATTAGAAATAATTATTTTGATGTAATCGGCACACTACTCTTTCCCAAAATTAATCACTAATGAGAATATGGTACATCGCTGAGCTTGTTAATATTTATTTAAATGTTTGAAAAATACTGTTCACTATTCAATAGTCACTAATTAAGTTGCAAAAAATATTAGATAACTTTTAAAATATAGCTTCTTTTTTTATGCAATAAAAATGCATAAATTACAGTAAAAACTAATAATTTATAGTAAACAAATAACCTGTATTGTAAAACATATTAAATGCGAGTCACTTGATTAAAAATTTAATTTAAATTACATTTACTGTTTCATTTACAAAACCACCTACTGTTTAATAATTTATTTTAAGTTTTTTGTTATAAAAATTTAAGTATCTTATAAACTGCATTTCTTTTTTTTTTTTATTTAATATTATTATGAACTAAATTTAATCATATTTTAAATATTACTACATTTTAAAAGACAGTACATCAAGAAAAAAAATACCACAAGTTTACCGTCCCGCTCGTGAAATTAAAATAATATCACATTATCTGTGGGATTTTCCGTTTTTTCTCGTTATGTAAGCGTTTAAACTAAAAATAAACTACATTACAGAACTCACAGTAAAATTTCAATACTAATTGATGGGTCACACTAAAGTGAAATTGTTTTATAACTTTGAACCCAAATTTCAGGAGAGGGAGTGAAAGTTACAAAAAATCGAGTGATCACTCAAATTGTATGAGGATTTTATGGGAAATACCGTGGTGGTATTTATTTTTGATTAAAATACATTTGAAGTGGGGGAACCAGAAAAACCCCAATTTTGGAGACAGGAAATTTTAGTTTTTGATTTCGCTATTTTTAGATCTTACTGAATAATACTTTACTACTTGTGAAATTGAATTTACTAACACCCTGTATAATGTATAATGTAAAATTTAAATCTTTAATGAATATAATAATTACCTTTCAGCTTTTTTTTTTTTTAATTACTATTTCACTCAACTTAAAAAACCTTGCAACAAATAACCTTATTATATCAGTCTCAAAATTTACAAAGATCATTATTATTAGCATTAAAAAAATGTTAAGATTAAAGCAGTAAATATAGTTTTTTAAGAAAACTTTAACTTAATAATTTGACTAAGGAGAAATTACTTGGAAATTATTCATTATTTAAACAATATAAAATTAGTATATAATTTGTAGATAAAAATCATAAAAAAAATTTGAATGTAAAAATATTTTCTAATTAATGAGTATTAATACATTTTATATTTAAGACTAGTATTTTAATAAGATCAATTACATAAATTTTCATTCTTATTAAATGTAATTTTAGCTACAAACAGGTTACACAAAATTTGTAATTATAAGGTAACATCACAAATTGGTGATGTGTAAAATTATGATAAAAATAAGGTATTTAAATAATATGACAAATTGAAAAGAACGTGAGTAAATTAAAAAAATTATTATATTAAATATATATTACTTCTAATCGTGTTTTTAAAACTGTAAAAGGCATAAGTGCTGAAACAGCAATACATCTTGAACTGAAACCAGCTAAACCAGATTTGATCATAGACGATTCATTGTTATTGATTAAATATGAATGTATGAACTGAGTAAGAGAAATATGTATTCCAATTCCTGGTATATTACGAGCTAATGACTAAAATATCAATACATTTTATAACTTATTATTTTTGACAATAAAATTAATTAACAAAAATATATTAAAATTTTAATAAGCTTATTTAAAAAATGTATAAAATTAATTTTTTTATAATAATTTAACTTTTTTTTTGTATCTATACAATAAAATAATGTTTTTGAACCATTAGTTGGCTGCATAAGGTTAAATTATCTTAGCCATTTTAAATAAATGCCCATTGTGTTTTAAAAATATTTTGGTGGATCATTAAAAAATTACCCACCAAAATATTGGATATTTGAATTTTTTATAATTTCTTATTTCATAAAAGTATTATGTAAAGTCAACTAGGTATGAATTTTAAAATTATTCATTTATTTAAATAAGTAATCAAAGTTTGTATGAGAAATAAATAGGTTATCTTACTGGAGCAAGTCCTCTCCAAAAACCGTGATATGATTCTTGTTTCCACACTAACTTAATAGCACCAACTATAGTAAGATTATTGTTACTGAAAAATAAAAATAACAATAATTTGTTAATTTTCATGTTATTAATTGTCATCTCATAACAAGAAAAAGATGGTCTACTATCACTCAATATTTATTTATTGTAAATTTAATTAGGCAAAATGCCTAATAACAATATAATTAAATCAAAATAATTATATTAAGTTATCAAGGTATACATAAAAAAACTACTAATTTCTAACAAAAATATCAACATTATGATTATTTACATATTCATGTATCTTATAATAGGAATTTTTACAACAAATTGGTCACATAAATGGCACATAAAAAGTATCGGTTATACAATCAGAGACCAAATTCATTAGTCTAGTAAATAAACTAAGATATTAAATAAAACCATTTAATAATTTAAAAACAGATATCAAATTTAATCCATCTATAATTTAAGGTGTTAAGCTTAAAGTATATAATATTGGTTGATAAGATGAGTAGGGACAATGTTGGATGTTATGTATATGACATAATACTCCTAAAAAATAATTTTAGATGTTTTCAATAGAATGAATAGGGTTAGTAATAAAAGGAGACTAAAGAGCAATTAAGAGTCTAATACATAATAATATATATATATACACAGAATGTTGCAGACCTATTTGATACTAAATTTTATATTTTTAGAGGTATATCAAATTTATAAATATGTTAAAATAAGCTATTATACAAATATATTAATACAATCAAATTAAATATAATAATTTAATAGAAGCTAAATTATTTAATAATAACTTTTATTAGTATATGTTCCTAGAATTAATCAAAATCCAATTATTTTATATAAAATAATGACTCTTATGATACACCATTTTTATTAGCAAGTTTTTGAACAATTTAAAAATGTACATATATAAATATATAAAAATATTAATTGTATATCTAATTATCATTTTGATATTAAAAAAAAAAAATTATTATACAGAATGATACTTTTAACTGTAGCCACTTAATTTCTCTTAAAATATTAAGTTTTTTAAAATTTTATTAGTTACATATGTATTTCCATTTATCTCTTATAAAATAATTTTTAAATCCATCCCTTATAACTTATAAGGGTGTCAACCTTTTTCTTTATATGGCAACATACATTTTAAACTACCTTATAAAATAGAAAATGATTTAATAAAGAAAATGACTGACTGATAACAACTTTTGGACCAATACCTTGAAAGTTGTTAGTATTTAAAATATAGACTATAAATGAAGTGCAGTTACTGCTGTTTTTATCATTTGTCATTTCTCAGTTACACTCTACCTTCCATCTATTTACAAATCATGAAAATTTATTATTTTAAAAGAAATAGTGTTAAAAGAATCACCTTGTTTTGCAGTGAATCTTATTTTGATTTTAGGTTCGATGCAAAGCTGAGAAGGTATTAATTTTACTATAATGTGTTTGTTTTTATTTTTTAATGGCAATCTGTAATATTTTATATTATTATGAACCTCAATTTTTAGGTTATTAGCTTCAATGTGTTGCTGAGAAGCTATTGGTTTTACTCTGCTTTTTTTTCGTGATACTCTTTACATGACTTTGTTCCAACTAGATCGATTTAGCTCGACAATATGTTAAAATATAACTAAAAATATTTAGTTAAAGCTATCAGTACTCTAATTTTCAAAAATTCTTACTATCCTAATAATAAAAGGTCACTCCTCAAAACTTATAGTCCTTATAAAAACAGTCAGTTTTGATATTTTTAGTTTTCACATAATATTGATATAATTTTTTGATAACTCAAAGGATTATAAAGTAATATTTATTGATAATACTTCAGATATTTTTGGTAAATATGATTGATCTCGTTTATATCATTCTTAATTAACTATAATTAATTGTATAATGCATGGTATCCATATCAATGTATAAAGGAAGCATATTTTTTTTTCTTTTTAATTTTTTAAAAATATTTCAAAAATTCTTCATTAAAATTCATACAATATACTTTAAGGTGAAAAAAGAAAAACTATCTTAAATTTCGATTTCTAGTAGCTATTGGACATTAGGGCCAAAAATCAATCAATATTCAATAAAATTGTCAATTTTGAAGAGTTGTGAATAGCAACTGAATATGTATATCGTTCAAAACTAAATCAAAATTAAGAGTTTTTTGTGTACTAAACAATTAAAAAAAAAATGTACTAATAACTTGTCTTCTATGAGTAATCAACCTATAAATTAAGGTCTATTAACTTAATCAAAACCTTTAAATTTAAAAATTATATTATTTTTAGTAAATATATAAAATTGTGATGAATAATATGTAAAATGTATGAAGTGATTTTAACCATTGTGAGCTATCATTCAATAATCTAAAAAAATTGCCTTAATTTCACTACTCTGGATCCTACTCTGCTTAGCTATTTTTAAATTTATTTATGAATGGTCTTGACTTTTACTTTAAAATAATTATAATTTAAAATTTAGTGAATAAGTTTTAAATTTCTTACGTCTTATTTAATATTTTATAGTACTTATAAATTCAAATTTCTTACATTATTAACACTGCAGGTGTAAGACATTTTACTTAATTTTTTATCCATATAATTTCAGGCCATGGATGGCATTTATTTTATGCAAGTTATAATCCAAGGTGATTAAGCACTTACTTCTTTGGGGTTTGCAAAACTGTTTTTACAACATCAAATGGTTGAAATATTAATGTAGAAAAAAATCCTGAGGCTGAACTTGCTGTAATAGAATTGACTAAAGGGTACTAAAGTATAAAATAAATTTGTTAACATCAAAAGCAATATTATTAACTGATTTAATTTACTTGGAAAATCCTAAAAAATATGTTTTTAAAGCTACTTGAATTTTTATCTACAGACATCTTAATTTAAATGAACTGTGATTTTTTTTCCAAATTATTAATACACTTCTTCATCTTATAAACTATCCATGATCGTAGGTAGTTGAGTAAATTATGTAAACTAAGTTAAAGTGCAATTTTAACATGATTACAACAGCTCAAATAATTAAGAGTACACTTCTATTAGTGATGTATACTACTAAGTGAATACTATCGAATAGTTCGATAGTTAAAACAATCGATTCAGCCGTTTATTTTCAAAAACTCCGTCGAACTGTTACTAAGAATTTTATCACTAATTATCCAGAATATTATACGAGTTAAAACAACTAAATGAAACAATAAAAATCTTATTTAAATAAAATTTTGCATGACCGAATGTTCTTGACTATCAACTATTATATTGAATAAAAGGGTTCCGGAGATTGCCACGAACTGATGATGCCCCGACATTCATTTACTCCGACACTGTAAAAAAATCCTCCGACAACAATTACTACGAATACCTAGTTACAAAAATTTGTATGTTACTACGACGACGAATACTCCGAATAGGACTATTAATTGATTGCTCCGAATGAAATTAGCTCCGAACATCGATTATTCACGAAATCGATTACAAAAATTATCAAATTTCGGAGTAGATGAATATCGTAGCAATATATTATCTGATGGAAAAATATAACCCTTATCACTAATTAATAAATATTAATTAATATAATAAAATAGCGTTATAATTGATTACTGTCTATTAACGAATAATTATTACAATAAAGATCCCCGAAATGTATCCGACTTTTGATAAAATAGGTACATAAAGGTAACATAACTGGTGTGAGCCCTTAAATTTTTTTTTGGAGGGGAAAGAAGAGCGATTCCAATTTTCAGACGTAAAATCTTTTTTACCTCTCCTTATTAGTGCTTATTATAACATTGCAAGCACATTAATATTATAACATTCAATTAGTTTAGTTAAAAAATATAGAGGTACGTTTTTATGATGATAGTATTCGTTATTAAACAGATGCGTTTATAAAGATATTCGGTATCCCATTCTCTAAAACTGTCATTACAATAAGTTTCATATGAAATCAAGCAAAAATATGATTTAATATCATTTCATTGTTCAAAGGTGGGTAACGAAATTAATTCAGTCCAGTTTGGATTTGACCGCAATTTGGAGAGACTTGAGGGGGCTTTGACTCCTAAAATTCTGCCATAGAATATACCGAAAATGAATTAATTTGTATTTCTTGTTGTATAGAAATATTTTTTTAGATTAGGTAAAAAGTTATGTAATTAGAGTTCCCAAATATTTTGTTGCAATACTCCTACGCTCTAGTCAAATTAAGTAAACACAAGGCAGTTATAAGTTAACAGTGGACAATAGTTTATGATTTATCATAAACTTACAAAAATCTTCTGCTAAGTAAATTGGTTTTAAACTTAACTAACTCAATTAAAAATATGCAGTCAATTCATTAAATAATAGTTCAGTTTTTTTTCATTTGCATTATGATTATTTGAAGTTTTGTCAAATATACGTATAGAGTTAAATATTTTAATTTATAATCATGATTGATAATCAAACAATTATTCATTTTTTCTCATTAAATGTACAATATAATAATGTAATATTGAAGCTGTACAACTTTTTTTATAGGACATATATATTTAAAATTACATTTTTACAAAACATAATACATTACATTACGTGATTTTATTTTGAAAATTAATTTTTATTTTTTAGGAATATGCTTTCATATTCTAAAAAGTACATATAAAATGAATTCAAATTTTTAAAAAAACTTTATTTTGTATTTATAGAACAATACATTTATATTTGCAGGATACACGTTAAGCTAACGAGATGAAAACATTGGCAAAATAATCATCTTTTCGTAGTGTCGGCCTGGCTCAGAAGGCCAACATTAAATTTAAGATTTTTTTTCTCGCTGGACCACTGAGAAAATTGTCTAACAAATTTAATTATTATTAAAAAAAGGAAAGGCTATTCAGATATTTTTTTCAAGGAAATATCAAACTGATTTCAATAAATGTATATTATATTTTAAGGAAAAAGAACTTTAAATAAATAATTTTTTACTCCTTAATATTTTTAACTTTTCTTTGAGCACCACTGGAGATTATAATGGTTTTACTTATAATTTAACATTGATTATAAAACTCATGTCACAAAATTAAAATTGTTTAACGATGAGTTAATATATTTTTACTTTTAGATGACACACAGAATTTTTAAATAAGAAAAAATTAATTCTACTTATATATAACCACAACTTACTAATTCTTAGCATAACTCATATTAAAACTTGTAGCAAAACTTAACGTTTAATATTATTTTAATTTATTTTAATGTAAGTTAAAAATAATTTTAGTAATTAATTTTCAATTAAAATTGCTGAAAGAAAAATTATTCATAATCTAATGAGTCAACACAAACCTATTGGAAGAAACTTCCAGAAAGTAATAAGACTAAAAAAAATGTGTCCAACAATTACTGCATTGAAGTTGGATATACTGTGTTATTTTATACTTAAATATCCTAATGCAGCACAGGAAAAATCCAGTCATCCCCAAAAATGATGAGGAACACATGGAAGAAATTTCTTTTTTAACCTTGAGGTCCTATTGCACTACATTCAAAATTATTGGATAATAAGATATTATTTTAACTCTTCCCGAAGACACTTATCCATATTATCAAATTGGACACAGAACACCCAATTTTATATTGTACAAATATTAACAATTTTATGTTTATATTAGTCATTATTTTTTAATATTACACACTTAGGAATTAATCACTAGTAAAATTGCACATGACAATTTTTACAGCACATATTTGTTATAGAAAAATTAGTTTTCAAATGGATCTCTTAGATGTTAAAAAATAAGTTACGGTTAGATAAAATTTTATGGATCAACTGAAAAAACAGTTAACTAGCAGTTTTTTGATTTGATGAAAATATTTTGTAATTATTGGATAATTAAAAAATAAAAACCAAGCACGGTGGGGTCGCGGCACAGTGGTGACGTGGCATAGTTGGATCAAGTATAATGATATCTGACAGTGATTAAAATCACTATAAAGAAAAAACGCTTCAATGCAAATCTTTAGTGTTTAATTTTAAAAAATTGGTGGATTATTCCAAAAGCTACATGATTTGCTAGTTCCTTATTAATATCCTGATTAAGATAAAGTATGTCGAACGAAAAAGGAATTATTAAAAAATATTATTTCTCATAAAAAAATTATGTTGTTCTATACACTTTTCAATAAGTTATAGCATTATAAAGTTAAAAATGTAAAAAATAAAATCGAGTATTTATATAATAATAGCATTTGGTAGCCATTTTCACAATGAAGACAAAATAAAGTCCGAATTTTTATTTTCCATAATAAAGTACATTACATTAGCTTTAATTTAATATATATATAAAAGTGTCAGACTTTCCGGAACATTTTCAAATATTAAGTTGAAAAAGTCAATTTTTGTAAAAAAGTTGCTATTTTAAATCCCCCCCAATGAGCAGGTTAAGTGATAGATTTTCAAAAAAATTATATCAAATGAAAGGTAAATATCTAAGGTTTTAGTATAAAAAAAAATGATGTTGATTTGTTTATTTTTGAAAAAGTTATGGAAGTTTTAAGAAAAAAATGTCAAAATTTACCGATTTTTAAATTTGTAATTTTTTTGGATACTTCCCCCATTTTCGGGGAACGAGGGAATTTTTTTCAATTTTTAAGAGTAATTTCTCCAACTAGATACGATTTCTGATATTTTGACGTACTTTTGAAAGAAATCGGTCCAGTGAGAGCTGAGAAAAAGTGGCAACAGACATAAAAAACCTAGCACAGGGGGGTCGCGGCACAGTGGTGACGTGGCATAGTTGGATCAAGTATAATGATATCTGACAGTGATTAAAATCACTATCAAAAAAAAACGCTTCGATGCAAATCTTTAGATAGTGTTTAATTTTAAAAAATTGGTGGATTATTCCAAAAGCTACATGATTTGCTAGTTCCTTATTAATATCCTGATTAAGATAAAGTAAGTCGAACGAAAAAGGAATTATTAAAAAATATTATTTCTCATAAAAAAATTATGTTGTTCTATACACTTTTCAATAAGTTATAGCATTATAAAGTTAAAAATGTAAAAAATAAAATCGAGTATTTATATAATAATAGCATTTGGTAGCCATTTTCACAATGAAGACAAAATAAAGTCCGAATTTTTATTTTCCATAATAAAGTACATTACATTAGCTTTAATTTAATATATATATAAAAGTGTCAGACTTTCCGGAACATTTTCAAATATTAAGTTGAAAAAGTTAATTTTTGTAAAAAAGTTGCTATTTTAAATCCCCCCCAATGAGCAGGTTAGGTGATAGATTTTCAAAAAAATTATATCAAATGAAAGGTAAATATCTAAGGTTTTAGTATAAAAAAAAATGATGTTGATTTGTTTATTTTTGAAAAAGTTATGGAAGTTTTAAGAAAAAAATGACAAAATTTACCGATTTTTAAATTTGTAATTTTTTTGGATACTTCCCCCATTTTCGGGGAACGAGGGATTTTTTTTCAATTTTTAAGAGTAATTTCTCCAACTAGATACGATTTCTGATATTTTGACGTACTTTTGAAAGAAATCGGTCCAGCGAGAGCTGAGAAAAAGTGGCAACAGACATAAAAAACCTAGCACAGGGGGGTCGCGGCACAGTGGTGACGTGGCATAGTAGGATTAAGTGTAATGATATCTGACAGTGATTAAAATCACTATAAAAAAAGAAGCTTCGATGCAAATCTTTATAGTGTTTAATTTTACAAAAATCGTATTTTTTTTATTAACTTTGATGTCTTTTTTACCACGAAGATAAAATAAAGTCCGAAATTTTTTTTCCCATAATAAAGTACATTACATTAGCTTTAATTTAATATATATATAAAAGTGTCAAGTTAAAAAAATTAATTTTTTGTGAAAAAGTTGTCATTTTAAATCCCCCCCTGTGGATAGGTAAAGGGTCAGATATGAAAAAAATATACCAAATAAAAGGTAATGATATCGTGCATCTATATAAAAAAAATTATATTGATTTGGTTATTTTTAAAAAAGTAATAGCAATTTTAAGTAAAAAAAATTGAAAAAATTTCGAAAATTAGCGATTTTTAAATGTGTAATTTTTTTGGAGGTTTCCCCCATTTACGGGGAACGAGGGAATTTTTTTTCAATTTTTGAGGGTAATGTCTTCGACTAGATACGATTTGTGATCTTTAGACGTATCATTCAAAGAAATCGGTTCGGAGAGAGCTGAGAAAAAGTGGTAAGACACAAAAAAAAAAAAAAAAACACATCTTAGTAAAACCAATACCTTCTCAGCTTCGAA